ACTCAATTATTTCTAGAACTCAAACACTTAAAGGAAGGTAAGCAATGCTGAACCAGGCAGGAAGGAAAAGTTAAAAGCATTTAGACCCAGACTACTCAAAAATTGCTGGCTTTCATCCAAATCCAGATCACAATCAAATTTTGCCAGACAGGTACCCACTGCCAAAAATCCATCTTTCTCTCGTTTTTGCAGAGCCACTCTATTTTTATAATCCACTTTATCTCAAGGGAAACTGCAACTTTTGGCCAGAAAGGCAAGAAAAAAATACCTTGCTGACCTGGCAAAGCTTGATGTGGCTCATGGCTCAATCTGAGCATGCTTCAGGAAATGTGAGTGGCTTTCTGGTACTCTTATCACAAATGCCAATTATAAAAATTAATATATATATTATTTTGATAAAAATCAGCTTTGTAAGTCAAAGATCTTTGTTTGGGATTTTTCATTTTCTCTTTTACCATCTTGAAAGTTATTAGGGAAACAGAGACAGAGACATAAGACTTGACGTGTTTAACACTGAAGGACAACTCAGGGCCACAAAATTCACAAGCATAGTACTGAATTCCAAAATAGGACAGTGTGGAAGTAGAACATCTCACCTGGGTTATATGCTTGTGCTTAAGATCTCATTCCTGGATTCACATTTAGCCAACCAAAAAGAAGGAATCTAAATTTCAGTTGTGCTCCATAGACTGAATGTCCACACTAACTTCAGCAGCATCCAGAATTATTAAAAAAAAAAATTCAAAAAATAAAAATAAAAAAAAATCCAGCTTCTTCTGTTTAAGGGATTAAACATAGAATAGATATCAGGTTTATGAGTAAAAGGAGTTTGAGCTTAAAGCATCAACAATATAAAATTTATCCCCATTAACAGCATATTTTCATATAGAAGACCAGAGCTTGAGAGCTGAACAGAAAAAAATCCAATTAAGGCCTGTATCTCATCTTAATACACTGCTGACTACATCAGAAAAGAGACATTAAAGACAGTGTATTAAATTAAATTAGCTCTATATACTGTACTTTAACACTTCCTATCATTTACTGATAGTGCAGGAACAGAGCACTTTTATGAGAGTACTTAAACCTCCCCAGTTTCTGCAGCTGAATCTCCAGAATTACAGCTCACATTCAGTGTGCAGAGGAAAGTGTTCCTGTGCACAGAAGTTTCAAAACAAATAAATAAGTCAGCCAAATCCCTTATAAATTATAAACTAGCCCTGTCTGCCACACAACTGGCCAGTAATCACTGCCTGTGTTTAACAGCTTAAACCAAGATTTTAAAAAACCCACAACATGCTTTCCAAGTTTTCTTCATCCAGACAAAAGACTTGTTCATTTCAGCTCTTGATCTGGTCATTTGTCCACTTGGAGTTAAGCAGCATTTCTTAATCCCAGATTTGTTCCCAAGAAACCAGGGATATTACATTGAACTGAGATACCTTGATGAGCAATTCTGCTTTTCGCTTTGTGACAAAAAGGAACTACCAATGAATTACCATCACTGTGACTGTAAGGACCAAATTTCCATGGATCAGACTGACCTCTGAGCCTCAAATCCACACTATACAGAATGGAGTACAAGTGTGTTTCTTCCATCACTGAGAAAACCAGACTACACCACATCATCTCAGTTTCCAGGCATGAAAACCAGTACAGAATTCCCTAGGTTAAAAATGACACAGTGTTTGCTGAGCGATGATGACATCTGCTTAAATTTCTCACTGCAGCTTTTGCATTAAGACATAGAATGGTTGAATATTTAAACACACTGCAGTGTTACTCAAAAAGTAACAGATTCAGCCTCAAAACAGACTCTTTCACACATCAGTATAACGACAGCAATGCAGAGCATTTCATACAGAGGCACCTACAAAGGGTTTAGACAAGGCTTAGCACAACTGCCCAGCAGTGAAGAGCAGAAAAGAGGATCTGAACATAACATTACGCTCTAATATTCCATTCAGCTTGAGGGTATAAGCAAGCTTTATGATGAGGTCATAAAGCAATTTTTACACTGAATTTATGAGCTCATTGTACAGTCATTTCCAGAAGCCAGGGGCCAGTTTATTAGAATTTGCCTGCGGCAAAATTGAAAACGGAGATTGCAGAGAAGTTCGACTGCAATCCCGGCAGTAGCCAAGGCTGAGGCACGAAAATTGTAAGGCAAACAAGTAGGGAGGGAACATTTAAGTACGAGACTTATAAATATCTGAACAAGGACATTTCAGAATCAGCAACATGAGAAGCATTGATTTACATTCATTTTCATTTGCAGAATTTCACTTTTATTTGAGGACGAGCTTATGCACAGCAAGCAGGATTGAAAAATAACTGCTACTCCTGAATATTCACACCAGACACCTATTGCTAAATCATGAATAAATGACAGAGAGCATTTTCACCACATATACAAATTGTTTAAGACCAATCTTGTTTCTTTACTGAAAAACTCCCACTTGCTTCTTACATTAGTTCTTGTCAAACCACCCTAACTGGCATCAGTATCACAAGATAAACCTTCAAACACAGCCCAGCAATCATCCCAAAAGGCACCGTGAGGGACACAGGCAACAGCCCAAAAGTGCTGAATTGTTCTGCAGCAACAGCGAGAAGCTGAAGGATCTTTTAAGGCGGTTCTAGGGAACTCAAAAAGATTCATAAATATCAAATATTTTGAGACTCAGGGTCAAAGGGAACCTTGGATGATCTCTCATGTACCTATCCCAGCTCGCTTCATTTCAGACAATAATGTTCTAACTGAGCAAAAGCATTTGACAGTGAACATATATTCATAAATTCCTCAGAACACAGCCAAGAAAACTGGACCACAACACATTCCAAAATTGTATCTTTAAATGCTTAATTGACTGGATTTTTTACAATAACTGATTCTAAGATTTAGAATTTATCTAGCTTTTATTTTATACTACTGGTGGTTCTTACATTGCTTCCTACTAAAGAGCCCTGTCAGAACAGAGACAAGTCACAAGTAGAAATAAACAGTATTACAGAGAAGGAGTAAACAGCAGGGGGAAAGCTGGATAAACCACAGTATCACAGAATTAGTGAATCAGGTGTAATTCAGTCACCTAAAGAGACAAATGCATCTCTTCAGTTATGACAGGTATTTTTTTCTGGTCATTTGCCCACTACTCACTATGGCCATGTACACAGAGACTTAAATATGGGGATAGTCCAGTGAATCAAAAAACACCTCTAAGATCAAAACTAAATAGTTTTGAACTCCAGAGGTATTTTTTTATCCAAGTAGATCAAATCACTGGTTTACAGTAGTTTAACTGGGACAAAGTTATTATTTATGAGAGTATTAATGTGGTAAACAGAAAGGGAAGCTACAGAAATGGACATTTTTTAAAATGGAATGAGTCACAACAGTAAATTACAGATAGTGATAACTTACTGTGGTTTTCTCTCTCCTATCTACAATATACCAATCTTCTAAATATTGGAAAAATATAAATCATGTTTTTTCCTATCATGGCTGTTGTCCTCAAATAAATCATTGCAATGATAATAATTTAAGTAATTAAAAATTTAATTTTGTAGACTTCCTCCAGAACTTTATCCTGTTGGGTGTTTAAACACCCAGATTTTTATTTTTTCCCCTTCTATAAATCATCTCCTCTGGGTGCTGTACATCAGTCACACACACTGGGCTCAGCACTCAGATCATTTACTCACCAAAGAACCCTGGGATGCTATTGGAGAGTGTATTGTCTACTGACATAATTCTGATCACCTGCACAGTCCTTCCATCACAAAATACCAATTAATTAAATCAAAATTCATTCATACCAACAGGATCCAGCATTCCCACCACAGTGTTTTGCTACACACTGTTAAAAACCAAGTTTTTGCTTTACAGCCCCCCAACATCCTGGTAGTACCATTCACATGGATCATTGGGAACCTGCAACTTCTTGGTTGCCAGGACAACTGGCTGACAAGCAAAAAGGGAACCAAAAGGCGCTTTTTTTTATGTATTTGGTGCAAAGTTCTGCATTTCTATATTTTTAGTCCTCTTTTGGAATAATATTCCCCTTGCTGCCATGTCTCAGAAGTGTCTATAGATCAGACATTCTGCACAAAGTTCTAAACTTAAACATCAATGCTGGGCATTTTACCCACTTAAGTATCAGACTGTTTCCTCAGTCGTGCTGATTTACATTTATAAACAATTAGGAAATACCTTGCTATGTCATAAAATGCAAGGAAAGGCTTTATTAATTTTTGACCATCTTTCCAGTGCTGCAATCCTGCTTTGTGTGCTGCAGAATGAAATGATGATGGATTAGCAGTGCTAATGGTCTGAAATAAACGTTGTTTAAAAATAACAGTTTTACCTGTTTATTGATCAATAGAACTGTAAATAATCAACGTAAATAAGTATGAAGCTAAACATTTCATTGCTCAAAACAACAAGTTTACACCTTCAAGAGGTAAGAACAGGTGAGATCTTCAAGAGAAAAGCAAAGAGCAGCTTTAGTCCAGGGCAGCCTCTCTGTAAGCACAGTACAGCTTCCACCTACACAAGTGTCCTTTCATCCTGCTACTTTTATTTACTTTTCCTTTGACTCTCTCAACTATTCTGTTTTATTACTTACATGAACATCACTAAAAGGCCAAGAAAACGCTAAGAAACCCAAGGATTCACACAGAAGCACCTTCCTACAGAGTAAATAGCACGAGAAAGCCACATGAGATGAACTGACAAGTTCCCTGAGTACACCACACCAATAACCAGCTCTGCAATTTCCACTGCTGGCCTCGTCTTTCTTCACCTCTTTTGTTTGTTTGTTCCAATAAAACAATCCAAACACAGAACACCAAGCTGTCCTGAAAAACCACACACACACACAAAACTCAAAGGGAAATATTTATGAGACAAGGAAACCTTTCTTTTTTAATCATACAACACCCCACAGCACAGTACGATGGAAACCACAGCTTTCCTTGGTTTGATGTCATCCCCTTACCTTCACGTGACTGAAGTCACCAACTTTGCTGCTTTCCTGTGGATTCAGAGCTTTAGTCTCCACTCTTGGTTTGACAACCTGCCGGAAAGGGCTGGAGAGAGGAAGTCCAGTAACACTGATTCCATCTGGAAACAGAATAAGTGGAATTAACTTTGGCTTGTCTAATGCCATGTTTTATTCCAATGAATCTACGTTTGTATTATCAAAGGGAGAGAAAAGACACAAAAAGTAATATTAACATTTTATACAAAAAAAAGGTAAAACGAAGATTATTTTGTTGGGTTTTCCCTAGAAGCCAAAAATAATCAAACAAGAATACACCAAAAATTCAGGGAAGATCACAGGAAAGGATAGCAACAGCATTTGAAATATCACAACAGAGATGTCAGAGTTACTAATATAAAATTAGTTTAAACATTTACAATATTAAAATAAAAGAAAGATAAAAGTTTGTGGTTTTCCATGGCAGTACCCGCTCAGCTGCTTAGGATCTTTAAACTCATTTCCAGTATGAGGATTCATTTTTCAAGTATATATTGTGGAAAATAGCATAAAATAGAGAAGTCATGTTTCTGTACACCTACTGACATAAAAATAAATGAAATATTTCTCACATATAATAAAGCCAGAACTAAGGTTTACACTGAAAAAGTCAACAAAACCTTAACAAGAATGGGTGTCCTTAGAGGAATGTCCTCAGTTTGGTATTTACTATCAGTCTGGGTACTGGCAGACAGTAAAGCAATAAGAGACAACATGACTACTTAATAGGACCTGTTATTGCCAACAACCTTGTGTAACCTGAAGCTAAATAAAGACACAGCAGCATATTTGGGTTTCTCAATCCAACCAAGGCAACATTCTAAGCACAAACCATTAAAGTGTGTGAAAATTACTGCTGAATCAAAAGCGTCAGAATAACAGGAAAATCAAAATAAGGAAGCCTTAACATACATTAAAACCAGATTCACTGTTTTTTACTATTTAGATTTGCTTCCAAAGTCCAGAGAAGAGCAGAACTTTGTTGCTTTATGCTGTGCAGAGTAACTGCAATCAAAACCACCAATTAAATACAAGAAAAATTGCAGCAAACACATATAGCTAAACATATGGGAAACACCAAATTATTACACAAAACCCAAACATATTTCCTAAATCGCTCCTATCAAATTCTGTTTGCTAATGCCACATTCCAATTCCATGGCTGAACTCAGAGCTGGGCATGCTGAGGATACATTCCTCAAAAGAAGAAACCAAAAGAACAAGAAGGAGCATGAAATGGTTTTGCTTCATTAAGATCCAACTTCACAGGTAACCAAATAAGAAAACAAAGGCAGTGCTCCCATATTCTTTTACTTCCAGTTTCCTTCACTGACTAGTTTTAAAACATACCTTAGCACTGAATATCCTGTGGCATCAGTTCCTGGGGGACAGCAGGACAGGCAGGTGAGAACACCCTGCCATAGCTATGCAGCATTACTGTGAATTTGGCATGGAATAGTAGTTTTTTTCTAACTTGCACAAGAATTAAGGCACCAAACCCCTCCTCAGCATCCTTTAAAAGCCAATTGATATTAAAGCAAACATACTTATTAATAAAGCCTAAGATTTGAGGCAATAATAATACACTGAAAAGTTCAACACAGGTTGCCAACAAAACTCATCATAAATACATTTGATTGCAGGCTTTGAAATCCAGTTCTTTTTAATGAAAATTAAAAGTTTTAATGGAGGAAAAATATTCTTTTCTTGATGAATGATTTTCACTAGTTCTATATTTAGAAGAAAAATTGACACTGATTGGTGCATAAAATTGCAAATTAAAACATGAAAAGAATGAAGCATGAAAAACTGCATGGCATTACTCAGATTTTCCATTTTTATAAGGCATGAGCTTTCTTTTCTTTGAGAAAGGAATAGATAATACCTAAAAGAACATCACAGACATACAACTAATGCCTTTCTTAATTACTCTCTTAAAACTCCAGTTTATTTTCATTTTCGATGTGGAAAAAAGAAGACAATAGTTTAAACATTTTCTCTGGGAAGAAGAAATTTTGAATCTCTAAATTGCACCTGAAAAAGGAGATTTTATAGCAAAGGAGACATTTATGCTGCTTCAGGATGAAAGGGAAGTCTAAGGTAACCATTGTAGTGATCAACTTTCTGTGGCACTCACAGAACTTAATGATGGCAGAAGAAAACATTGAGCATCAATGAAACAGTTCACAGTTTTAAATTATTGATACTTGTATTTTTTGAGACTTCATAAGTTTTATTTTCTCTCATGAAGTTTAAAGAGATGAAGATGCTGAATCCTCCACAGTTTTCTTTCGTCCATCCCTACTGCTAAACAGCTTGAGCAGCCTTGTACTATAAAAAGAATAATTGTCTTTCTACTCTGTCCAGAAATTTTCCTAATTTCTAGAATCCACGTTGAATATTTCCATGGTAACAGCACATGACCAACACTTTTTCCATGGTAACTGCAAAAACACAGCTTGCCTTTCCAACATTCCAGTCACTGCTGTCACAACAGAGCAAAATCTCTTACTGGCATTTCCTCTCTCCTCTCAAATGTTAAGTAAATTGTCAATTTAACTTCATTAGCCACTTTCCCAGCACGCTGCACAGAAGAATCCCACACAACTTCATATTTGAATGAGGGAAAGTGCATTCAGGGAGTTAAACATGTAGATCTACAACCCGTTGACTAAGCACTGAAGGAAGAGGTGGCAGGGGACAGCTCCTGTTCCATGGAATGCTGTGCAGTACAACAATCAACGGCCTGATGCAGGTGACAAAATTGAAAACACTTTTCAAAAGGTGCATCACAACTACGGTGGTCTCAAACTCAGCAGCAAGGAAACACTTAAAAAGTGTTCCACTGATGCCAGGACACCAGAGAAGTTTGGATTCCGGGGCAGTCTACAGGTAACTGGCAATACAATGTCACATAAGATGGAAAACAGAAGATTTTAGGTTGAACTGCTGCTTCTTTCCAGAAGAACTTCATACAACCCAACAGCAGCACAGAGACCCTGAGGGGTGCAGGACAAGGAGGAGTCACAGAATCAATTAAATTGGAAAAGGCCTCTGAGTTCATTGAGTCCAACCTATGACTGAACACCCTCACGTCAACTAGACCAGAACACCAAGTGGCACATCTTTCCCTAAACACCTCCAGGGACAGTGAGTCCACCACCTCCCTGGGCAGCCCGTTCCAAGGAGAGCAGGAGGGGCTGCAGGTCTAGGGTAGGGATCTCCAGCCCTGGAGAGACCCTGCTGGAGCAGGGATCCTCCAGCAGCCCAGGGGATATTCCCCGTGAGAGCTGTGGCTTCTTAAGGACCCTTCCAACCCAACCATTCCATGATTCTATGTCAGAGCTTTTGGAAAACACACAGCTTGATCATAACATATGAAAACTAAATGTCCCCTCAACCCATTTGTTTATTTTGTCAATCCATTGCCTGATAGAAATTTCAAAACAAGAAGCCTCTTGGTAGGCAACATCTCATAAGAACACTGTAACAGCTTTGAAGTGCTTTAAACATGCAGAACGACAGAAAAAAACAACTTGAGACAGGAGACAGACTCTGCTTGCTGAACTTGAATATGCTTTTTTTTCCTTTCTCAGAAAAAGAGAATTATATTCTGCTAAAAGTAGGCAGAGTTCTAGAAACTTGCTTTCTGCAGTGACAAAGAAGGGGGTAGCACAAGAGCAGACAGAGTTCAGGCAATGGAATCCATTTCACCCTTTATGCTATGGGTGGGCATTGAGATGCAGCTCTTCCCACTCTCAGAAACATCCTTGGGACTGTGACAGGAGAGTCCACAGGTAGCAGCACCCAGGCAAAGTTACTGGGAATGCATCAGCTCCCCGGCTCCCAGGAGCAGGGCACAGACAAAACGTCCATTACCTCTGAAGACAACAATTAACAATAACAAATGCACTGTCAGTAAGGATAAGTAAGCAAACTAAAACTGGAAGTTCAATTTAGAATAAGGGTGAATGCATGAAAATGAAGTATAAAGAAATTCATAATAAAGACTAGAGATTATTTACACAGACTTCATTAGATGCTAAAAGTGCCTCAGCAAGGGAACAGCATAACAGGCTGGGAGGTCTATGCCTGTATGTGCCAATAATCAATTTATTGCTCTCTGACTCGTGTTGTTAAGATTTGGGGGCTGAAACACCATCTCTCTACATATCTGTAGAGTGGTTCGTACAACTGATACAGGTTGAAGTGCTATAGCACTTAAATATTGTTAAAAAAACCCAGCCTGTATCAGTGAAATTATGAGACAAGATTATTTATCTAGATTAAAAAGCAGTTGGAAGAGAAGAAGGTACCTTATCTTCTGTAAGTACTAAAGCTGAAATTCAAGAAGAAATCTGTAGGAAAAGTGCTCAAAAATTAAGAATTATTTTTAAAGTTACATAGTGATGAATTCATGGAGGACACAAAAGTGTTTGTGGTTAACAAAACAAAACAAAAGGAAAAAAACCTCATTTACTCAAATGAACAGTACAACCAAACTGACATCTTCAAACTGCAGAGCCAAAAAAAATTCTTAGAAATGAAGTCACTTCAAAAGATTATTCTGAATTATTAAATGCTAAAAGGCAACCAAGCACAGTAACGTGGAAATGATAATACTGAAACATCTCCTAAGACTTCCATCATCACCATCATCAGCGATACCATTATCCTAATAGAGTCCTCCAGGCTACTCAAGTTTCTCAGAAGACCCGTCAAGAGTCATTTAAATTCCAAAGCAGGTACCTTTCAAACTGGGAAATATATTGTCTATAAGCTGTATATGTGCAGGAACATTCTGAAGTGGATAAAATCTGACCATTTAAGCAGAAAAGCACCAAAGTGAGTATGAAACATGCAGTGGTCTTGCATAACAATATGAAAAAATATTCAAGATCAGTGCTTTTAGAAATACGCTATTATTTCTCTGCAACCTTTTTTCCCCAGAGAAAGGAAGGAGAGACCTAAGCATAGATTTACTTCTCTCTCAACATGTAATTAATTAGTTCCTTTGATGAGTTTATGAATTTAAATACCCTCACACCTGTCTTTAGGTTCCCTATACACGGAATAAATGAACCTTAACATTTTACATAATGAAGTACTCATTGTAGATTAATTCATTAACTTTGGAAAACATTATCCCCATGTAGCAGGAGCTTTTTTAAAAGCCTGCTTCCCACTAACAAGTTACTGTGTATCAAGCAATCCAGAAAGAGCAGCTGTTGCTCTCATCCCTTTCAGCATCAGGGAAATGCTGGATTTCAGAAATTAAGTAACTGGGAAGGAGAATCCATCATGCTCATAACGTGAGTATCCTGTTGACCTCTTCAGGACACCTTAGCAGGTGACACAGACCTTACTGCTCCAGCTCCCCAGGCCTGGCTGTACCAAGCAGATCAAGTGTTTCCTCCTTGTCTTACACAGTGCAACAATCGCAGAATCAAATTAAATACACATAAGGACCTTCCTGACCAGAGGACCAAGGACATACATAAAAGAAACCCTGAAGCACCCAGCTGAGGGACAAGAGATCCAAAACTTCATTAGCATTTTCAGCAAACAGCTCTCCTGCATGGATCCGCTAAATCTTGGTCAACTGGCTTCAAGACATAGAATCACAGAATCGTTAAGGTTGGAAAAGATCTCCAGGATTGTCAAGTCCAACCATCAACCCAGCACTACCACCATGTTCACCACTAAATCATGTCCCCGTATTCACATGGGTTTTTTGAACACTTTCAGAGATGGTGATTCCACCACCATCCTTGGCAGCCTCTTCCAATGCTTTCCAACCCTTTCAGTGAAGAAATGTCTTCCAATATCCAATCTAAACCTCCCCTGGTACAACTTCAGCCCATTTCCTCTCATGCTGTCTCTTGTTACCTGGGCGAAGAGAATGACCCCCAGCTCATTACAACCTCCTTTCAGGTAGTTGTAGAGAGCCATAAGGTCTCCCCTGAGCCTCCTCTTCTCCAGGCTAAACATGCCCAACTCCCTCAGCAGCTCCTCATCACACTTGTGCTCCAGATCCTTCCCCAGCTCCACTGCCTTTCTCTGGACACACTCCAGCACCTCAACGTCTTTCTTGTAGTGAAGGACCTGATCTTCTTAATCCTAATTAATGAAGTGTCTCTAGAACACCTGCCCATCTCTTCTAAGTGCTTGCAAAGTCATTAATTCCAAAGACAATAAGCCAAAGCAACTCAGGCTGTGACGTGAACCCTAAAGGATGGCTTAAATGGGAAGTACATTCTTCTGCAGTATATATGGCATGTTATTGAGCTGTATTTGCACGAACCCAATTCCCAGCATGGAAACCTATCCAACCCAGACATGACTACTAGCACCTTACAAAACTTAATGACTGGACAATAAAATGTCAAATGAAATTCAGCATAAATAAATAAATGGGAAAAAACAATCCTGAACTCATATGTACAACAAGAGGCTCTCAGCATACCATTACTGTTCAGGAGCAAGATCCTGGAGTTGTGATTAACAGATTCATGAATCTCCCAACTCCATGTTCAGCACCAGTCAAAAAAGTAAATTACAAATTGTGCATTACTGCATGATTATAAGGAAAGTAATATAAAGCAAAACAAAGAGCATCATTAGGTCACTACAGAAATACATAGATCACCTTTTAAACAGTGTGTACAGCCTCCCTCAAGCATACAGAACTGAGAGAGCTCAAAAGGTTGATGTGTGGAATAGTTTCCATAAAAGTGACAACTAAGTCATTAGGAATCTCCAACCTGCTGTGACAATAACCTCAGGAAATGTATAAAATCACAACTGCAGGTACAATGTTTAGAAGATGCACTGTTACCTCTTTCATGTAGTACAAAAACCTGGGGACACAAGGACACCAGCCAGTGCAAAGCTGCTAAAAAGTTAATTTAGCTGTGATTCCTCTTGCCATGGCACATTGCACAGTGCTGACGGGAAGAATGAAGAATTTTAGGAAAGAGAAACCCACTAAGGATGACTAACAGTGCCTAAAACCAGAGAAACCATATTTCAGCTCTGGAAGCTCCTGAGCTATCAACAGTTGGAGTCCAAAAGCCTAAAGCAAAGCAGTGTGTATGTGCACAATTGAAAGGAAAGCAGTGTCTATGTGCACAGTTTAAAGCAAAGCAGTGTGTATGTGCACAATTTAAAGCAAAGCAGTGTCTATGTGCACAATTTAAAGCAAAGCAGTGTGTATGTGCACAGCTTTCCCTATATTCTCCCACAGGCATGTGCTGTCAGCCAGCATCACAGCCAGGATATTAGACTGGATGGCCATTGATCTGATCCTGCACAGCCACTCGTGTGGTTTTGCTTCCTTTAATCTAGAAAAACATCCAACATTTTTCTTTATGAGACAGTATAGCATCAACACACTGGAATTAGATCAGCAATTTTGATTGATAACTTAGTTTACTTTCCAATTGGATAAGTGTATCATCAGAAGCATCAGTAATCTATCCCTTCTGTACTATGTCCTGATTACAAACAGTGTAAAAGGAAACAATTTCAGCAGCAAATGAAAAGAGATGAAAGTAACAGATGCCCTGTTAAGGGCATTACTTTTAGGAGACAAAAGTATTTTGATCATCATTGTAATTGTGGTTGGTCTTCAAAAGAAAAAGGTACGACAGCTACCTTATGATTAAAAGTTGCCATTGATTTTTCTGGCTCTTCACTGTTTTTCACATCAAGCTCCTACCCACCTCTTCAGAAAGTACAGCATTTGTGACGTTAAAAGCAATACATAAAAAATAAAGTAGCAGCTAAATTGTCAATATACTTAGCATCTGTAATAACACTTCCAAAGCACACAGCACCCACAGACACCAAAGTTCTAACAAAGCACTGGCAGATTCTACTCCTTTATCATCACTGAACGAGGAAAGGCTGAATTGCTTCCAGGCTTCAGTTACACAGACTTTCAGAGGAGTAGGAGGCAGAAATAATAAGGTAAAAATGTTCAAAGATTTTGTTCATATATGGTCTCATAAGAGCTGGATACAAGCAAACAACAGAGGTCCAAATACATATCCCAAATCCTAAATCCCACAACTGCTTGGTGTAAATACAAGAAGAGTGTTATCTCCTCCTCCTTCAGCATTTGTCTGTATGTTATTTCTTCTGAAAAACTGCTGGGCAACTGCAGCTTCAGAGGTTTTTGGAGACTGGGCAAATGAAGGACATATTAAATATATTTTTGTAGGTATGTGTATATATGTGTGTATACATATATATATACAAAGCTTTCATGGAAGGGCTTTTCCTATCAAGGGGTTTTTTCTCAAAACCTCGTTTCTTTGGCCCCTCTCTTTTCACAATATCAGGGTGTGCTCTTCCTCCACTATCAGCCTTTTCAAAAGGTTCTAAAGTAAACCTTAGTGTAGCAACACTGCGGGATTTGTGCAGCTAAGTCCTAAAATATTTTTAGGATTTTTTTTATTTTACAGCAGGGAGGTTTCAAAAACAAAGAAGCCTTTTAATCATTACTAGCAATTAATATAATTTCTGTCTAAATGCATTTGCAGGATAACTCACAGAAATCAGTCCTATTCAACCTGAATAAGCTCTGCATGTAATTATGTTGTATTTTTCCTATACTAAAAAAATTTATTTTTTTAAGATCATTTATAATGGTAATATATACCTGGAATTGGATCCTGGGAAAAAATCCAAATACTACTGATTTTTTTTTTTTTAAATACAGGAATATCTTGTTTTGTCAAGTTAATTTAATCAGTGCAAATATATCAGGCAATTGAAAAAATACAGAGTAGAACAATTACTTCAGCGAGATTGTGCATTTATCATAAAAAGGAAATCCTTATTACAAGTATCTGGTAATTGTAATTCCAAATAACTCTAATACAAGCAAACACTGAGGCTTTTTTTTAATTCAAAATAAGTTTAAGCACATGAGACTTTCTCTACAGTACAAATATTAGAGGGATTATGCCCTACACTTCAGGATGTCACTTCTCGCAAAACCACATTCAGCAACAACTAAGAATTCTTCAATCGTGTATAACTAAATAATCAACCCACTGTTATTTCTCTTTAAAGCCCACTATTATTTGTAAATTATTTTTCTTTGTCTTCATGAGGCAAGGATACAAAGAGACATCAAAAACACTCTGTCAAGAAAGATTTAAAAAGATAGCAGGGCAAGGCCTTGTGGTGGGAAAGTCAGGTCAGACTGTGATGCCCAGAGCTGTCACAAAAATTCCCTCTTCAATCCCTACAGCTCAGCAAAGGGTTGTCTTTGCATTACAAGACACAAATATACAAACACACAGCACAAAAGGCACAGCAATCAGAGAAGTGTTTCCCAGAAGTACATAACACCATCCTAAACAAGGAGAAATTAAAAACTCACCATCACTGAGATCTTGCAGAAGGTTTTCTTGGCATGAAAAGTCCAGCTTCACTTTAATGTTTACAGTGAATGTTGCAATCTTTCCAGGTTTTAGAGGAAACTGGGAGAGGGTATCTTCTAGATTCCAACTCAGGAACTCCCCATACAGCTTCTCTGTATCAAAATAAGGAAATATTTCATGAACATAACCCCTGCATTAAGGAAGTTTCAGTTTAGAGCTGTTGTAGAGAGTATTAACATTGTCACGTTCTGCTTAAAATATTCAGAATGAAGGTATTAAAAATTAATGTAACACTAGAAACCCAGAGAAGTTACTGGGTACTGACACTGAACTGGAAGCACATAGATCACAAAGCTCAAAACATGAATTTGAGTGAAGATGACTACCAGAAAAAAAACATTGCACAATAGCCACCATTAAATATACACTTCAAATGCAGCTGAAGGGGTGCTAAAAGTTCATGTAGTTTTGAATCATACAGACTTGAACCCAGGAAGTGTCACATCAGTGCAGAGAACATTTCATCAAAATATTACACCAAACTAAATCAGTTAAATTTCTGAAGCACCTGTAACACCATTATTTAGTTACTTATTGAGCAATGGAGAGGTTTAAAAAGCCTATTTGTTTTAATTTTTTTTATAAAGTCCTTTCTTAAAGCTGAGAAGTATAAATACACAAGACCCAAACATGAAGGATGCTGCCAAACAGGATTAATCTGTTTTAAAAGATATTTGTCCAATGAATTATTTATCACTGGTCTACATCAGATGGGGCATCTGTAATTATTAGCTCCTCTCTCCTAAATCTGACATAATATGAGGAAAAAACCCCAATATTCACTGTTCATCAATACTGGATGGGGGCTTCTGTTCTGGCCAGGGTCAATCACCCCATTCATAAATTCATTAATTTTTGCAAGACCATACACTACAAAAAGAAGTCTATTAATACATAAAATAAGCATGATGGTTTGACTGGGAGAATCCTAAAAATATATTTATTAATTTATTGTAGCAAAACATACTATCTGCAACGTACACTGGAGAATTCTTCTAAAGGCTCAATTAAGCACCATTTGAGCAGAGCTTTACAAAACAGGGACCACTGCAAGTCACACAGTTCATCTCTACTTCATACCAGGCTACTGGATTTAAGGGCAGGTTGATCTGAGGCATCTCTGAACCTTTCCAAAACCATCACTTAAGATCCATGTGGGAGAAAACAGAGTGGGCAGACTGCCCAAACAACTGCAACCTAGAATAAAGGATCTCTCAAAAGAAGAAATTAGAATTCCAAATTATGTTGATTTGCTCAGAAACAACTGTCCCCCTTCTAGGGAAGGAGGAAAAAAAAAGAGAATATTTTTTCATTAACTACCTAAACAACAACAGCCTTGCCTGAAATATATTTTTCTCACAGACCATCAGGTGTTGTCTTGTGCCTTTCCACATCAAATCAATAGTACAGACTCCTTAATAAGGACAAAGATGAGGTAAAAATAAAAAATCGTAATAATTGTTTCCTTAAAGTCACCTCCACCTCATCTAATGATTTAGCTGTAACGATATCACTGTTCTGATTTTCTTCTATTTTCAAGAAATAAAAGGGGCTTAGTAAGTACAGCAATCTCTACACCCTTTTCCTGACAGGGAGAAAACCAATATACTGAAGGAATGTTTTCCCTCAGCATGAAAAATGAAGGACATATCCCAAGCACTTGAGCACCAAACTGTTTCCAAAATGTGTTTTCATTAACTAAATTTATTTGAAGATACTACAAGTGAAAGGACTTTTGAAGTGAGAATAGCCCTTGCAGACACTCTCTAATTAACACCTGTAATTACAACAGAAGATCTAAATGCTTGAGCCAAAAGTTAAGCTGCAGAGAATAATCTTGTTTAGGTTTATCTGACACTAGTTTACAGTTTAATAATGTTCACCTTGTTCAGGAATCATTATTACAGTAAATTATACTTTGGCTTCAGGCCTTTCAGTTCAGTGGGAGACTAATTTGGGGCAAGGCTGCATTCAGTTCTTTCTCAAGTCCCAAAGTTGTGTTTAGCAAACACCTGATGATACAAGCAATTGTTAGTCAAGAGCTTATTTCATCATTTTACTGGATACTAAATCACTAAAATCGTAACAAATATCATACAACAGCTTACTCACAACCCAATTTCAGCCTACTCTAAGCCAATCTAACTCTTAATAGATTTTAAGGTCTGCCAAAAAAAAAAAATCCACGCTGACATTTTGCATAGAGAAACTCAATAGAAAGGTCTTTTGAAATCACAAGAACCTCAATTCCTCAGTTCTTTTCAGTCTTAAGTCCCCTGGTAAATCTGGCTTTTTGCACCCCAAAATAACTATCAGTTCTGAAGGCACAGGCATTGGCATTTATACATCTTAACTTCCCCAAGACCTGGTAGACAGCAATGAAACTGCAGGTCTTGTTACATTCTTCACAATGTAAATGTTTCCAGCAGAGTTTCCTCTTGAAAATTAGACACTATCCCTAACAGGAGGGAAAAAATGCTCTAAATTGAGGAACCATTTGCTCTAACGACTGGAAAAAAGAGTTAGTAAGAATCATGCAAAATCCTGATCTCAGTCAATTGGTGGGGGCAGAAAGGAAAAGACTTGACCTGGGAAACCCAAACAGTGGCAGCTGGATGGGGCTGGATTACCCACATTCCTTGTCCTGTCTTCATAAGGATGTTTGGACTGACTGCAGAAAAGCCTTGCCTGCATTCACCTCTCCCCATGGAACACAACCCCACTCCAATTTGTTTGTTTTCTTTAGCAAAAAAAAAAAAGGTAAATAGATCTATTCCAGGATATTCACAGTTCTTCAAATGGGTTGCCTGGACCTCAGAGCAGACTTTTCATTTATGGTCTGGCACAGCAGAACAGCTGAGGCTGTGGGTAGATGTGTTCAAAGACCACAGGAAGAATACAGGTGAACTTATTTCTCTATGTTTAAATTCCAGAGGTCAGTCACTTCTAAGAAAGGTCAGTGAGGTTTTCCTTCCTGATTCAGGCTCATTCAGCATGTGTAGCTGGTCTAGAGCTAAGAATGCCTAGTGTGCTCTTCTCAGGGCCTCAAGATGAAAACATCAGTGTTACATTTGCCCCTGAATGCATCAAATAGTTGGGTTCTCAAAGCCTTTGGACTACACTCCCTAATTGAGACATAACAAGCCTCTGACAAGAGTTGACGGGAGACAAAGGGTGGGAAAGGCATCCAGCTTTGCATGTCATCTTTCCAAAAAAAGGACTGAACTGGTGAGGGACAATACGAGGTAACACAGAGTTCACCTTGACAGCGTGTATGTGTGATGTCCAACTCACAGACACCACAGCCTGGCAGACTGATGGTGCAATGAGACACTAAGAGCCATGACAGACGTGCCCATTGTGGCAGCATGACAAGTCCCTTTTGCTGATGTGCCTCAGGACCTGCTCCAATAACACACAGCTGCTAAAGGACTCAAAAACCCTGTGATGTCCTCTCTGAACTGCACAGGGTGAGCTGCAAGTTCTGCTCATTTATCTGAGTGGAAAACCCAGAGAACTGAACCTGAAAGTAACAGAAGAGAGGAAGTAAGGGAAAGCAAGTGTGAAAGTCTGATCTCCAGAGGTTCTCATTAGCAAAATATCACTGAAAACAATGCCAGAAAAGTCAGCTTCCTCCAGAAAAGTGACTGACTGTAACAGCTAACAAAACAAATGAGGAGGTCAGGTCACTAATCCCATCCAGTAATTCCAACAACAACAAAACAGAATATTTGCTATTTTGCAGCATTCATCTTTGTGCTAAAAGTTGTGGCCCCAGAAAGAAGGTAGGGAAATGGAAGTCAGACAGGCAGGCCTGCAGCACCTGCCAGAGATTTATGAGGAACTGCCAAGACTGAAAGAACTGAAGCAAATCAGGTGAAACAAGGGATGACTGAAAGCTCTTTTTATTTGGCTGAAATCAGACAATTTCTCATGGGCTCCCAAGGTGGTAGGCAAGCCGTGGTCAGGCAGATGAAAAGGTCTAACAGCTCTCAAGAAGACCCTGAGCAGCTTAAATCACAGGCACATTTCAGCTGGGGACTAGTAAAGAACACCCAAGAGAAAACTTCTTAATGCACTACGGACAGTCCATAAGCATCTGCATATGCTCCCAACTTCATATGTGGTATCAGGAGTTTGTGTTGCTATCAGAGATGGTTTAATGTTGTACCCCCATTAGTTCCATGCATGTATCATTCACTGACCAGAAGCAGCTGCTGTTGCTACAAATCTTTAGTTCCCTGTTGATCACCAGAATCCCATGTCACTGTACAATGTTTTGTACCAATTTATGATCATAACTAAAATGGAAGAGAGCCCATGAAAAAAGGGAAAGGTCCATCCCCACCACATGAATGACATTGACCTGTTGGAATGAGTCCAGAGGAGGCCACTGGAACCCCTCTGCTCTGGAGACAGGCTGGGAGAGCTGGGGCTGCTCAGCCTGGAGGAGAGAAGGCTCTGGGTAGATCTTAGAGCCCCTTCCAGTATCCAAAGGGATACAACAGAGCTGGAGAGGGACTTTGAGGGCATGAAATGACAGGACAAAGGGGAATGGATTCAAACTGAGAGGGAGCAGGCTGAGATTGGATACTGGGAAGAAATTCTTTACAGTGAGGGTTGTGAGGCCCTGGCATAGGTTGCCTGGAGGAGCTGTGGCTGCCCCATCCTTGGAAGTGTTCAAAGTCAGGTTGGATGGGGCTTGGAGCAACCTGGTCTAATGGAAGGCGTCCCTGCCCATGGCAGAGGGGTTGGATCTTTAAGGTCCCTTCCCACCCAAAACCATGCAATGATTGATCCTATGATCCTCTGCGACACTTACATGCAATCACATTTGAAATAACATAATTATTATATGCTTAATGTGGACCATCAGTTCTTTGCCATGGACAGCCTTTTCCAGCACTTCGTGCTGTACCCACAACACAGTCGTGTACAAAGTTACACTTATTTCAGGCTGTATTTTCCTCCGTTAACGTGGCTCATCTCGAGCAGACAGTCCCAAACACAGGGGTGCATTTCACTTCTGTGAGACAGTGCAAAAAACTGAAGATTCTGCCTGACAGGACCTTGGATCAGCTAATCCCAAATTCTGCTTTCAAGAGAAGGTTAAGGTGATTTCCAGCGGTCCCTGCCCATATGGACATCTACGATTCTGTGATTCTGGTGGCAGAGTTCTCACACTCTCTGAACAAGTATCACTCAGTGCATCTCAAAACTCACTCTCATTTCTCTTTTTCTGAGACAGGGATTCAAGTATTACGTTTTTTGAGGATGCATGCTTAGAGCTTATTAATCAGAAATTTTCCTTTTTCCAATAAAGAAACATTTCATATAGAGGAAAACAATACAGGATCCAGTACAATTAGAAGTTTTACTAAACTCACAGTTGAGTCTATCAACTCTTCTCCTTTTTCCCCATTGTTTTTAACAAAAGTTGTAATGGAGAGATGATTTTAAAGTTGGCATGAGTCTCTTTTTCAACATTCTGAACCAATTAACTGTGTAACATTCCGTACAAAGAGTCTGAATAACATGTGACTCGTGTGCCCATATATTCCAACATTTAATACATTTCATTACATGAAATTCCCCATTTGAGTGCTCTCTTTGGTCCTCCCATCCCATACATCCAGCACTTGGCACAGGAGGAGCATGTTGGAATTACTGAAATAAGAACAGTAAGTCATCATACGTTTCAACTTGTAAAATTATTCCTGGTAACAAGTCTCAGACCGAAAATCTATTTTGAGATGATTGGCAACTCCTATTCTCTCAGGTTGCAGAGAAGAGGATACTCTGTTATAAAAAAAAGTCATGAGCTTGAATACTGAAATGAACAAAAATCACAAGGTATCACACTGCATTTTAATGCTCTGGCACTGACAGAATAAAGCCTGCAATAAAATAAAGTATTTCTACTGTCAGTAAAGATTATGTTGCTTGTCACCTGTAGTTCTTCTGTTAATATCATTCTCATAACAATGTCTCAGAGGACAAACCAAAAAAAATAAAATACATCACAAAACAAAAGCAGGATTCACCCATCAGACTACTTTTTAATACTAACATGGAAAGAGTATTTAAAGAGAATTAAGTGTACACAAGCAATGTGCTGTATTTCTTCCAGAGCTTCAATTGTTCTTTTAACTCACAATAACTTATTTTATTTATTGCCTTGCCTTTTGAAGTCTTCTATCCCATTTTTTTCTTATTGCTCACTGAGTAAGATAGAAATATGCTTATTTATTTCCACTCCCTCAAGTAGGACAACATTACTGCTAATGGTAATTTATTTAATGAACTAATCAGCATATTTAGACATAAGGAGAAAATAATTTAGACACAATATTCTTCCTCTTCACTAGCTATTGCCTGAGGAATTTCTCCCCAAGTAACACTAAAAAGAAATACAGATTTCCAAAAAGCAGGTGACCTTTTGGCATGCAGATGGTTCTACAATTTCTTTCATTTTCTTTCTATATTTTCTTACATTCTCTTTCATTTCTATGGTAAAATCAAACTGAATCACATCAGTTCTGTAACAAGGACTATGATATTTAGTCTAAACTGAGCTGGAAGCATAAAACAACTAGTTCCCCTTTTATTAGAGAAGTGATCACTATTATTTCTAAATATATATCAGCATACACACCCTTGGTGTTGACTGTTTTTGCTGTGACCTCCAGTTTCTCCAGTGGTTCTGTCCCAATATTTTCTAATTTAATGATGAGCTGCTGGGTCTCTCCATTGTAAAGCTGGACAGACACGTTAGTGGAGATTTCATCCCCTGAAGAAGGCTGAAGAGTATGAGCAGACCTACAAAATGTGACACACAGACAAACAAAATACTGTGAGGAAAATGTTAAAAGCCTGTTCAAGTTACTCTATTAACTATTCTTTGAAGACTCAGAAACTACAGCTCTGAAACTCTGAAGATTAGATATTACTTTCCATTCTCATTTAAGCCAGGGTCATTTTTTAAAACAAAAGTTAATAATTTATGCATAAGACAAGTCAGATTTCAAACAGTATAAAATATGTATTCCTAACTGTGAAAGCTGGTTAAAATTGCTGCAGAAACTGTAAGAAAGGGAAAAGAGGAGAAAAAAAAAAAAGGAAGAGTAGGTCATTACAATGAGCAGTTTCAGTGGACAGTGCAGGGCATGGACCTCATGGGAGAAATTCCCTGTGTGAAAGGTGAAATAGTGACTAGAAATGAACTCTTTAGAGCAGGAAGGAGGGAAGGAGGTTGCAGAACAAGGCAGATGGGTAGAGGTCTCTGCCTGGATTTTTTGTGCCAATGCAAAGTGGTCAGAAGGACACAAGGACAAAAGCTACTGAGATTAATGACCAATAAATCCGTTGGTAAATCCAGGTTTGGTAACTTCCTTTGGCAGGTATTCCTGCTATCCTTCCCTTCCACCCTGTCCTCCCTTCCCTCCACAAACAGGAGCAGATTTCAGTCTTTCAGAGCACATCCACGACAAGGACTCGAAACACGGATCTTTTGATCATTTCAAATGTCCTGTCACGGATCGTTATCACTGCAGCACTCTGGAATCCGGGCGTGTGGAGTGACAGGAAAGAAGGAATTTCTCCCCTCATATTTAGACAAAAGTATCAGGGAATTGCATCCGAAAAAGCAAAACAAACGGTGCTTTCAATTGCTGTATAAGTGTACATGTGTTTATTAGTGATTCTTCTTCTGGATAGAATATTTTTTTCTCTTTTTCTTTCTTCTGTAATAATTGCATCTGCACTAATAATGATTCCTGGATGGGATTGGTAACACACGGGATTTACAAACAGTATATTCTTATTACTTAATACAAAGAATAAAGTCTTATAGATTCCTCTTTGCCCATAAACAAGGTTTTGAGCATAACAGTATTGCACAGTTATTTCAGTATATTAGAAGTGCTCAGCAAGAGAAAAACCTCTAGCACGTGGCACACTGGCCTGCAGCTTCCAAACCTTCTGTTCTTGTGAAAATAACTGATATTTGTCCTAGTTTATCCATACTAGAAGTCTTTTATTATTTTATTTATAAATTTGCCATTTCCTTCCCTCAATTTTCTTACTTTATAGATTTTTTCCCGCAAGACTGTTTTACTCATTATTACAATAATTCCATACATTGATAATATATATGGCACATAGATATTTAATATATGGCACAAATACATTTATTAATTCATAAATAATCTGTATATAATCTATAATTATAGATACATATAACAATGAAAAAATATACAAATAAAATTATTCCCAACCCACAGCAAACTTCATTGCAGCTTCTGCTAAACTGTGCTTATTTAATTGATCTCCCAAGACACAGATCAACAAAAAAAATATTTTATAGTTCTAACAAGACATTCTGATCTGCCTAGGAAGGCCTGGAATTACTATTGATATGACTATTCCCCCAAAATTACTATTAGGTCAACTGCTGAAAAAATATAGACAGTTATAAACCCTTGTCATTTCAAACAAACCTTTTCCTACATACCAGCACTTTCTCCTACAATGAAGCAAGGCAATAAATACAGCAGCAAGATTATCTCAAATACTTAAAAAATAAATACATTTTGCAAAAAATTAAGACAAGTCAGCTCAGCTCCAGCAGATAATGTTCCACATTATCAGCTGAACATATACTGACAAAGAGCAGATATTATACTCATTTAAGAATACTTGCAAGTCCCTCTGTATTTCAATAGCCAATACTAATTTTGATTACAGCCAAACTACACAAATTCCATCTCTAGCAGAATTTTTAGAGGGAATTTACCAACATGTAACCCAACTGCAGCATTTTATTATTTTGCTGTCTTCATTAAGGTATTACTTTCATAGTTTTGTAATACAGTGCCATCAACATGGCCCATCCCACACCAGGAAAGAAGAATTCAGCACAGAAAAATCTGAAAGTCACAGTGAAGAACACAGTAAAATAAATTTAAAGAAATTTTCATACATATACACACATATATAACTCTTTGTATCACACAATACTGATGATCATCCTAAGGATCATAAACAGAGCTGAGATTTTCCAAACAATAGAACAACCCCTGTGGCACTTGAGCTATTAAGGCAGTAAGTTACAAAAGGCTGTTTTCTGCTCCACAGCTAAAAGGAATATTGTTTAAAAAAAGAAAAAACAACACAAAACAAAAAATACCCTGAAACTCTCTACTTTTACAACTCTTTGCCAAACAGCAGATGGATGGCAGGACTGAGATATCATGATCAACATGTAGGTGAATGCTCTTGTACCTTGAAGAGCTTCAGAAATGGAATTGAATCAGTGCCTCACCAGGTGTCTCCAAAATGCAGGAATTAGTCAGCCACATTCTTCACAAAAAACCAAAAAGTTCACAAAACCCACACCAACAACCCACATGTGGTACTACTGTGTCCTTCTGGGTGAGTGTATAAGGAAGGTATTTTAGCTGATTCTTCCTGTACCTCTAAAAGGTATTTCTTTTGTATTATGGTTGAGTTTGGGCCCCTCCTGAACCACGGAAATATTGATTTATTGAAGCAAGTCCGGAAGAGGGTTGTCAGAATGATGACAAGGTCAGATCATTACACAGGAGTTCAGGTTCAAAGAGCTGGGTTTGTTCCATTTGAAAAAAAAAGATCTAACATGGATCACCTCTTTACTTCAAGATTTTATGAATTTGTAGCCTTTAAGAGATTAGTTCTTTTAAAAGCATGACTTTAATAATGACTAACCATTACACTCCCTCAGTTAATTAAATCTCAAAATATTTTCTATGAAATTGTATGGTTTCAGGAAGTGAAAAAAAAAAAAACTTGGGTTTATATTCTAGACTAAACAGCACAGGTACAGTTTATGTCTTAGTTTATTAAATCACTGATTGTATATGATCGAGGTTTTAATCAGCATGTGAGTAACATTTAAATAAAACCACATAAAATCACCAGTCAACCTAATTTCTCACCTTGGAAGGGAGGTGCTGATCTGCAGCCTTGGCAAAGCTGGAATGACTTCAACAGTGCAGCCATTGGTCTTCACTCCTGGCAGATTGTCCAGAAGGCAATCGCTGAAGACTCCAAAAACTGAAGTATGGTAACCTGATGTTTAGAAGAAAACACCAGCATGTTGTGAATTTTATTTTTTTCTTGGAAGGTCTAAAAGTACTCAGATTACCGGGAGACTCTTCACAGCACACAAAATACGTACAAGGTTCACTTATAACCACACAACGACATACAAACAACACACATGTACAGCTCTGCACCTGTGACATGTCAAATAAAAGAAATTGTTAAGAGCCTGTGATTTTTGTGCATTCAGTGCATTATGGTAAGTTATGTGGAATTTTTCACAAGATCAACATCACAAGTCACAGTATAGAGACCACTATTTTATACCTCATCACCAATTCACTGGTGCTCATAAAACGTGTTACCCTTCAACGTATGTTAACAATTTCCTATTTCCTCCAAAAAATATTTATAGGAAAGAATCTCAACTGTATCCAGAAGGATAAAAGAATCCTAAAGGAAATTATTAGGGAAAAAAATATACATGCATACACACAGACATCTGCCACGAAAGACCAAAACTTACCCTCTGAAAGTTCAATTTAGTAGAAAAGTACCTGTGCACCCAATTCCTTACCAGGCAATATTTATGAGCTATATCTGAAGGAAAATTTGATACATTGACACACAAACAGCTGGCAAGTACCAAAATCAACTCCTCTACTTGCAGCACATTTTTAGTATGTGGGTCTAAAAGCAGAAAACTACAGCACGAATGTTCTGAATGTTTTGATGCTGTTCTGTATTTACTGAAATAGTTTCTGAAAAAAAATCAAATGAAAAATCGTTTTACGAGCAGACTGAAAAGCACTTAAGAAAAACTCAGCGAGAACAGAGTTTCTTCAAGTTCAAAGCCATCTTCTTGTAGTGTTTCACTTTATTAAAATGGTTCTTGTCCTGTAACTTTGTATAACAGGAACATGTACCTAAAATTTTTCGTTGGTAAGATGATTCAGTCCTACTATGTGACGAATCCATCACCTCCACACATACCTCCTTTTCTAGGAGACTCGGTTGCTCATCTTCTGAAAAAGCTCTTTAATTTTCTTACTTACTACAAACACAGTTTTATTTAGGCTCATTAATGAAACGATATCTCGACTGCAATAGACTACACACACACAGGCTAAATTGTTTCTACAAAAGCAATCTGCAAAAATTTCTGTAATCTCGCCTGAACACGATTAATTAAGAAAAAGAGAACCGCAAGATTATCTTCTGCATTCTCAGGAAAAAGTTCAAGTAATCCTCCTCAGAAGCTTTCCAAATGAAAGCATTAATAAAGGGGAGTTGGAGTTCATTATCCTTCCCCTCTCATAGATGAGATACTGTAAGAATGTGTTTGTTACTGCTGCTGCAACCAAGTGATTTATCGGGCTGTTTTTAATGAAGTCTAGCACAGAAAAGAGATGTCCTTTTCTCTTGCATTTTTTTCTTTTACTTACTGAGGAGAATTCAGAGTGGGGAATGCATACATGGCACAGAAACTCATGCAATCCACAGGGGGGTAAAACATGAGTTGTTTTGCTCAGCAAAGAGTGACTGGAGACATTCCTTACCATTGACAGTGATCTGCCCAGTGGTTTGGGGAACACCAACAAGAGTCACAGGATAGAGACCAGATTCTGCAGGCAGGGAAAGAGCTGCAGGAAGAGATTCAAATTCCACTCCAGTTGTCAAGAGACCCTGAAAAAGCCACATCGCAGAGATAAATCCATTATGACATCTTATATACATATACACTTACATTTTTATGCTATGTACTTATATTTTAATCCCTTGCATTGCATCACCCAAAATTTGATGATTTATTCCGATTTGCTCAGAGCAGTTATTTTGGGTTTGAGGTTGCAGTGACTGCAGTGTGCAGCCAGATTTGTATTCAACAGGGAAACGAGTTTCAGGATCTGAGGTGGGAATGATGTATGAAACACTAATAAAAATTAATACCCAAGCATAGCAAAAAGAATCAGTGATATCAGCTGCACGGTGCTGTTTTGTACCTACATTTAATCATACCTGTGACCTTACTTATGTATTTGATATATTTTGGACAGTGGAAATCAAACATCAACAGCAGCTCTTGCTTAGCTTTAATTACCCAGTCAGAAAATATTTTCTATCGGGAAAAACATTTACTATTTACAGATAACAGAGCAAGTCTAGCTTTACTGTCCAGCCTAAACATTTCAGTGAGTTGGAATAAGGCATTCATTTTCCTAAATTGATCCCTGCTCAAGCCTAGATGCCTGTAGTTACTCCCTTAGTGTCAGAGAAATCTTTCAGCATCCTAAATTTAAAACATGGCACGGAACAAGAAATGAAGCAGAAAAAAAAAATGTATTTAAGAAACTTTTAAACACAGCATTACTGTCCTTAGTAGGCTGGAGCTTCTCTTTAAGCTCAGTTAATGAATTTAAGATGCTCGAGAACAGAATGTGCTGTTACAAGTAGGAAACTTAATGCTGGAAAGCATGTAAATCTAAGTTACCATTTGTTTTTGTATACACATATATATTTATTTTTATGTTTAAATAAAGATGCTACACAAATATCTCCACCAATTAATGCAGTAAGCACAACTGGATTAAGTCTCAGCTTCATGAGACCTCAGAACGCTGTGAAAGAGGAACCTTTTATTTTTGTAAAGACAGATGAAAAAGTTCATGGTTTGAGCCACAGAAAAACTCAGAGACTGAAGACTGAAAAAGGAGTTCAAGCAGCAGCAACATTACCTGCACAGTGCCAGAATACCAGCATTGCTTCCCTCTGAAAACACCTCTGACTGCCTGGTTTATAATTCAACTGAGTTTTGAAGGGTGAACCTCTGCTGCTCCCGACAGCTGTAAAGGGAGGCCAACCCCCTCTGTTTCTAGTTCTCAATTACAAATTAGGATAATTGACACTTGTGTAATAAGTACTTAAAGAAATACAAATGGCACTACCAGAATTACGCAGTCAGTGACTGACACTCGACCTGTTGTGGACATGAAGTCTTCAATGGCCTGACTCTCCCTGGGACTAACCACCAGTAACTCTCCTTTAAGCAATTCCTAGATAGGAACCAAAATCAAGCCACCACCACTCAAAAACTGAACAAAATTGAAAGCCATTCTCAGAATTTCTTCCCTCCTTGGAAGGCAGTGCCTTCTGCAAAACTGACAATTAAAGGAAATGCTTTTCACCTAAGATTTTTAACAGCAAGGTCCTAAAAACACGCCAGAAGCTTGAGAAAGCAAACCAAGCAGGTTTGACAGGTTCTTAATTTCTCTTCTACTCAAGATCTGAAGTCATCAAGATTATAATATATCCAAAAGCTATGAAATCTTTCATTCTAGCAGTTACTTCTTTGTGGACTTGACATTCTTGAGGCAATACTGAATTCAACCAAAGCTACTCTTGCTTTGTGGAAAGCTGAGTTAGAGAACTCTTATCTGCTGCACAAAATGCAATTTCATCATTTTACCTGAGTTATAAGAAAATACTCTGTCAAACCCCCATTTCTACCGAATTTTCATTTTCTTCCAGTTTCATGTGGAGATTTAAGCTGTCAGAAACAATCCACAAAAACATAAGTAAAACCTAATTTTATCCTCCTATATATTCACCACCCTGTGTATGAGAGCACTGACACTGTTTGATTTCCACATTAATCCTTCCAGTGGGATTCACCCCACAGAAACAGGGTGAACATTCACACTTCAATACTGAGGTAGCCTCAGCCTTCATCCCAATAATTCTGCTTTTGCTTTGGCTGAAGCAAATCTTAGAACATAAACAAAAGGTGACCCCACACACACTCTCCGAAACTCACTTTTGGAACAGGTAAAGAAGGCCTTGTAAGATTATTTTAGTCAAAAAAAACACTGAATTATCACTTAGCCAAGTATTCAAATACATTTTAATTATTCAGGATTCACCTCAACTAAAAACTTTCATCCAAGGACTTAAAGTCCCACAAAATCAATGATAAAAAAAAAACAAACCTCCAATGTCTTGTTTACTATCAGCTACAGCAAATGCAAACAAACAGAACTGACAGGGCCCCCTAAGTATTATCTAATGCAAACCAGGAAAACAAAGATTTTCTAGAGAACAAACACAATGCAAATGCCAAAACACCTCCACTAAGAGCATACTATGCCTGGACTAGAAACTAAAGAGCTTCAAGTGCAGTAATACAAAAAGGAGAAGGCAGCATTTGTTTCCCTCATTTTTAGTTTTACTGTTCAGTAAAACTTCACGTTTTTAAAACTAAAGATATTAAGAAAGCATTCAAACTCACCGAAATGGAAAAAAAATCAATATAAACATCAACTAGGCTTCAGACTGACAGACATAAATTGAAATCAAGATACTTACCCTTAAAACTTAACCCACACAAGTAAGTTTTAAAAGACAGTGACATATCTGGAATGTCTGAAAGACGTTTTCAAGATCACTGTTTGCTGAACTGTACAACTCTGCAATATTTGCCCAACATTGCCCTCTGGTGCCTGAGATTTTGTAGTTTAGCAGTGAAAATCTAATCAAGGCTCAAGTACTCTCAGATTCTTTACCTAAACACATCAGCCACACCACCAAAAAAAAGGAAATGTGTTACATTTCTTTTCCTGAGAGTCTTATACCTTATTTCAAGTAATATTTAGTAATCACTGCTCTTTCTGACCATCAGGAAAAGATCACCCATATATTATGTTTCCTCCAGGGAATATATGAATCACACACACAGAAAATGTTTACATATCTTTGTATTCTTATAAAACAATTGAAATTGTCTTAGAGTGAATATATGCATGCTTTTATCACAGCATGCCTTTCAATCACTTCAAATCTCGATTTAGCTTTAGAGGAACAAAACAACTTGCACGTAAATGGCAGCATTTGGGGATGCTGTTAAAATAACGTGAGTATGGAACTGCTTTTTTTAGGCTTTACTTACCAATCCCAAAATGCAATCATTCTTTTTTTAAAGCAACACTGCCTTCAAAGTTAGTTTTCATGCTGAACATACTTTTATACCATGTTGTCAAATACTTCACGCAAAAATTGTCAATATTTATTTAAAAGTGAATTTTCCCTACTATTTCTAATAAGGTTATTTTAGGCAGACCTAGAAAAACACCAAACAACCAGTTTTATTCTTCTTCCCCTTCACCTTTTTGTGTACATTCTTGCCCAATATAGTCTCTATTAAATGTAGTTTAGCAAGAAGTAAATATTCTCTCAAGATGGCAGAAACAGTAAAAGATGTGAACTCAGGAAAGAGCAGTTCATGGAAACAATTTAAACAATCATAGGCCAAGTTATGGGACTGATTATACATACAGATTTATCAAAATTTTAGATGGTATTTTTAAACATCAACATAGAGTTCTTGGCTAATAGCACAGTTTTGAAGTTTTTTAAAAAAAAAGTAACAAACATTCTTAAAGCATCTTTAATCAAAATACCACACTTGATTGTGTCCAAATAAATACAGGCCCCAAGCAGAAGGAGAACCACAGAACAAATACTTTTTTTCTTGAAAAATGACTTAACACTCTAAATTACAATATTCCTATGGTCTGGGGTAGTATTTTTTAGTTTCTTGATATTTATTTATTAAATATGGTTTACACTGCCTGTAGATCTTGCAGCTTTCTTAAAACCATGGCTGTATTTCCTACAATAAGTGCAGAGAAAATGCTTTCCCTCAACACATAACATTGCCTCAAAATTTCTCAGCTTTGGCTTTTGGGTTTCTTTTTTCTTTTAATATGAAAATTGAGAAACGAAGAGGAAAAAGTAGTTAAAGTCTTAGAGAACTTAACACACTTTGCAGTGCTGCTTCATATGCATTTGATTTTAATATATCTCCCCAGAGTGTACCATGATTTACTCCTTTAAACATTTATCTCAAGATACAAAATAAATCCCCTGGCGATTTCCCAGAACTTTCTGGGATTGTTTTGAAGGCTTAAAACATGAACATTTTTTCCTGGATGGAAAACTGCAGTAGCTGCAAAAGGGATGGAGATCACTCACATACCTGAACAAGTCTGTACAGAAATCAATACTCCTGAGAGAAAAAGCCAAGTGATGTATACACTTATTTACAGCTGAACATCCCATCTCCCGGGAACTTGGGCTCCAGCACCAGGAGAGCAAAAATATTCTGTCTAATGCATCACAGTCACAGCTACTCAGGCTCATTTTTGTTTCTCTCTCATTGTGCTGATTTAAGGTACCTGCTGAGTTTTATTAAAGCCTTTGGTCTGATCATCCTCACCATCTCCTCTACTTCACTTTACTGACTAAAGTACACAGTTATTGGACCTAATCACTTCCACATTCCTGAACATTTTACACTACTGCACCTTCCAGTGGATCAGCCTTCTAACTGTATGGACAACACAGAAACACGAAAGAGAGAAAGAGAAAAGGAATAAAGAAATGGGACAGGCATGAAGTGTCCAAATAGAGCCCCAAATCAGGAATATGCGTGACAGGACATAAACAGCAAGAACAACAATAATGGGCCAAGAGCTTTGAGAACAATAAAATGAAACAACAAAAAAGATCAATTTTTCAGGGCTTACCACCTGAGCAACACTGATTAAAGTCTTGTGTCCACAGTCTCATGTCAAGTCTAGAAATTCAATGCCTATTACTTAAGCACATCTCAATTAACCTACAAGTACTTAGCATTAATTCTTCAAATAATGAAAAAGCTCAAGGAGCCTTTCCATGGGTTAACAGTCTGTGCTCAATACTAAGTTGTTTACTATCACAACTTCCATCCATAACAAACAGAAAGACATTGTAGAAGAAGTACCATGGTAAGAGCTTAGACAGTTCCAGAATTCATTTAACATGAAAGGAGTAATCTGTCAGAACAACAAATCTAAACTGTAAGGTGAGGAAAAGAGGAAAATTAGAAAAAAGGAGTAAGACTACTATAGATTTCAGGAGAGTGACATGTTGGTGAATGGTGGACCCTGAAAAAGGTAAAGGAAAAGGAAATCAAGCAACGGAGAACTCAAAGAACAGCCAGTGATTGCAAACAAGCTTGAAGGAGTAAGTTATATTGGAAAGGTGAGGTGCTGAGGCAGGCAGAAGGAAAAAAGTTGTGGGACAAACAAGCTGAAACTGCCACTAAATGACAGAAGAGGATATGCTTGCTATGAAACTGAGTCTGTGAGAGTAAATAATCTGAAAGAACGTGTTAAGTGATGAGAAATCAGACAGGAAAAGGAATATGGGGACTGCAGGCACGGGTACGTGTTAATAATAAAACAAACCATTTTAAAATATTAAACAATACTCTGAATTATTTAAATAAAAACAAGGATTTTATTCTCATGATAAGGTAATAACTATTCCCACATTCCATATAGCTCACAGATGAGAACTGCTCTAGAAAATCAGAGCAATTTAGGCTGCAAGCCCTCTTGCTGAGACCAGTGTTCAGAACAGGGGCAACTTTGGTGGTAGTTTAGGTTTTTTACTGTCCTTTACACTCAAATTTTGAAGATTTCTAAAGATGGAGATCCCACATTCTCTGTGGGCAACCAGTCCCAAAGTATGATCACCCTCATGATCAAAGGGATTTGTTTTTTATTAGGAAGGTTTTCCATGGCTGCAGCTGTTCACTGACTCTCACTGGGCACTTCTGGGAAGAGCCCAGCTCTGTTTTCAGTGCACCTTCCCATTTTGGGATGGAAGAAAGCAGCAGGAATTACCCCAGTATTCATCTCTTCCCCAGACTGAGCAGATGCAGCTCTTTAAGTCCATCCTCATCTGTCCAGTGCCCCAGTCTGTCCATCCCTGGGGACAGAGCTGGGCTGACACCAGCACGCTTCCATTGTGTGGGGAGCTCAAAACTGGCTGGGGTTGTCTCTCAAATTCCAAATCAAGGGGAATAATGACTTCCCTCAACTTGCTGGCTACAGTCTTGATACCACAGACAAACCAGCCAAAATCAACCCATTTCTCCCAAAGAGTTGACATTGGGGCAGAGCAGAATTTCTCAGGGCACTGTATTTATGGAGCGCTGACTAAAGAATTACGTTAATCACTTCAGTTATTTGCATCTCCTTTGCATGCCTGCTTCCCCTTTTGCTTACCCATGGAACTGGAATTCAGTGTTAATTCAAAAACATAACTTTATGATGTCAACAGTGAAGAGAAGTATTCATGCTACTACAATTAATTTGCTCAGGGAATGGATGTTGTGCAGATCTATGCAAATAACTGTATTCCGAGTCCTTGAGTGTGTGTAAGCACTCGTAAGAAACTCCCTCATTAAGAAATTTTCCAAGTTTTTTAAATATATAACTACATCATTACTCACACAATACAAGTCAGACTGTAAATCAAAATGTTCTTAAATCAATTAATTCTTAGAGGAAGTCCTTTCTGATGTGCAGCTTCTCAACTACTTTTTCTATTAATTCCTAAAAATTTTGAACTCTTCTGTGAGGGTTAGAGAAAATGCTGCTGAAGAAAGCAGTGTGTTAGCTTCCAAGAATGAATTTTATTGTGCTATAAGCACAATCTTTGGGCATCTTCACTTCCCATGGAAAAACACTTTATTACATGTGGAGTATTATCAGTAATTCAGGTCAAATTGCTTGACTAGACACTGCAGTGGACATCTCAATAAAAAAAAACATCAAACAAAAATCTTGGGCAAATAAATGTAGGCTGATTCACTTAGCCTGACAGAACAATGGGCTCTAAGAGATGGGCTTTATTTTTAAAGCAATATTAAGGGTAAAAATATTTAACATAAAGGACTATGCTGGGTTAGAACTGAGTGGGGATTAAGTTGCTCTGCTAGTTAGAAAATTTTTAAACTTTAAATAGATAAAATTTTTTTTAAAAAATCCTGTTATCTGGAATAAAGAAGGGAAAGTAAAAAACCCACACACTTTCCTTTGTTTCAGGATACACTGCAAGCAACCCACTGAAGTAGTAGAGGGCTTGGGTTTGAGCCTTCTAATCTTACAAACTTCTCTGATGTTTTAGCCTTTTTTCACTCCCTCTTGATCATTTAACATTACAGTGTTTTCAAATCACACACATCACTGGGAACAGCAGAAGCTTCCAACAAAACACAAAGCTTCTCAGAACTAACTATTTTAGTTCATCAGATTTTTAAATTGTGGTCAAAATGGGAATTTGAAATGCAAGGATGAATGCGGATTTTTAAATTACAGTAGCAAGTGTACAATAATTATTAGTTTTCAGGATATAATTATTACTTGAAAACCAGTATATGTAAATTATGCAGCATGAGTTCTAGTCAATGCAGGAACGTACAGAATTGATTTATGGGTCAGTGCCAGTAAAGCATTTAAACACTGTGAGTGGCAGAGATTTTCATTTCAATACCTCATCACCAACAAATATGAGCAAATTGACAACACCACACCTTTAAACTGAGGTTGTGCTGGGTTAAATGATTTTTTTTAAACTATTTGTTTTATAGAAAACCATATGTGAAAGTCCAAATGAGATTTTTTTTCAGAAAAATAACAGAATGAGAAGATTTAGAAAGATACAAACCATGTTTTCTACTCGGAGCTCAAAAGGCATTGGGTTGTAAACCATCAACTGGACTTCACAAACATCTCCCTGGACCCACTGGAAGTCTACAAGAAATGATCACACAATTAATGCAGGAATTACCTAATCATAGTGTTGTAAAAAAGTAGCAGCAGCTGAGCTGTCAGATTGCTATAATACTTAATAACTCTCTATAATCTTTACAGCCAAAGCCCTGCTCAAGAGCATTGTGGAAGACAAGCTGTAAATCCCAGGCAAAGTAATGGGTTAAAGGACTGGAAACATCCATTAAACAGCAGTTGTGCTCCAAAGACCCAACGTTACTTGGCAAAATTAAACTAAGGCATCAATTCAAAACACATCCTTCATGTTAAACACTTCAGGGCTTACATCCTTGGAGTCAGGTACAGAGTACACACCACTGTGGATATTTAAGACTCAGATCAGAATCAACCAGACGTGGCAGGAAGTAGGAAATTACAAGTCTTCATACAGACACAGCTGATGATACGGAGTAAATAAAGGATTATTTTAGATTAAGAAGGAAACAACTGCTCACCAACAAGATGCCACCTCAGCTTCCTCCTACTAATTTTCTTTAGGAAACAGTAAATAGTTTGGGAGATGCTGTGGGAGTGGAAGATGACAATAGGATCTATAGAGCACAGATTTTTCTTTTTGAGGGTCCCAAGTAGAGGCTTGAGCAGTAACACAAACTGTTAAGTAACTTGTGAAAATTCTTAGGAAAGACAATGAAGTAAAATATGTCAGGCAAAAAAATGTACTTTCAGTTTAAGTCACTACAAGAGACAGGTTCAACTTCAAAGATACTTCACCCTGCCAAGTTTAAAATTTTGGGACTTTTATCATTTAAGGAGACAAGGCTGGATGGGGCTCTGGGTAACCTGGAGTAGTGGAAGGTGTTCCTGTCCATGGCAGGTGGGTTGGAACAAGATGATCTTTAATGCCCCTTCCAACCCAGACCATTCTGTGATTCTATGATTCTGTGAGGAATTTCTGGAAGTGAGGTCAGCAGCAGAGATGCAAGATCTGAGGAACTGTTCAATGCAGAAAGATTATTTTTTATCAGCACTTCATAATCTTTTCAGCCCACAAGTACTTGTCTACCTTCCAGATATCACCACATGCACCTGATGTTCTGACTTAAAACTGAATGTGACAACATTCTCCATGCATGCTGAGGAACTGCAGTCCAAATAAACAACAGGTGCTTTTACTATATTTGTAAAACTAATCATGATTATAAGCTGAACTATAGCATACATGGATTAGCTTTTACTAGTCAACTCAATGATTTTAACATACACTGTTAACATTTTTTTTAGTAGGATATTAGAAAACATCCAGTAAAAAACCTAGATTATCAATATTAAGACTTTAATTCACAGTTGAAGCCATCAGTACTCTAATTGTACATTCCCAATCATTTACTATCTGATTACATTTTGCAAGCAATATTAAAGACCTCAAGGGAGACATACTTAATGCAAATGTTTAACTCCAATTAATGCTGGTGGAAATTAAAAACATACATCCAGAGATGTTAATGGGTTATAGAACTGTGAAACCTGAAAAGCAAAACTGTTGATTAAAACAAAATGTTCGAATACACAATGGTAGGAGATGTTCTGTATATTTATTATTTAATTGCTTATTAGTGTTCAGGATGTCTCATCATTCTGCAGTCCCCAAAACAACCAGTGGCTGCTCTACACAGGTATTGAAGCACTAAAGTTCACCATTATGCTTTACTACAACAACAGCAGTAGCCTCAGCAGGCACTTCAGTCCTAAATCTCCACATTCTAACAATGACCACGCCATGGAATGTCTTTTCTGAAAACGTTTTCAATGCCACCATGTAAAAAGGGATTCTGAAAAATCAGAAAAACATGTTGGAAACTCTTGATTTCACCTAAGTGCAAATGCAAACCACTGATTTGCCTGATGCTTTAATGTCTTTACTTCCAAAAAAGGAAGGATTTGAGGCTCATTTATTAACGTTTACCAGTATGATCCCTCTCTCTGTGCTGAAGGCTCCCTGAGCTGCTCCTCTCAGTGGATCTGAGGCTGTGGGAAGCTGTGCTGAAAGGGGAGACTAAACAAGAAAGAGCCTTATTTGAGACCTAGCAAGCAGTAGAACTATGGCCTCATGGCACTGACCTCCAGAAACCACCAGACAAAGAGTGTCTGCAGCAAATGAACAGCACCTTGGAGCAGGAGTGGCAAGGTCTCTCTGATGTGTGAGAGTTCCACAGGAGAAGGCCATCACTGCACTCCTTTTTATGCAGCAGCAACAGATATGACACCCTGGCAGCTGACAAAAGCCATGAGCAAGATTCCCACCAAGCAGGACTTCAGAGCCTTGGAGGTGCAAGGGAAGGGTACAGGTGTGCAAGGGACTTTCTTCACTCCCTTGCCAGCAGAGACAGGGATACAGGCAGGAGTTGACATATCCTGCAGATCAACACCTGGCTTCATGGCTGGTGTCGGCACTAGGGCTGTGGTTGCTACAGTCATGGGAAATCCTCCCCTGAACACAGCCCACTGGGGAGAGACAAGAGCCACCTACCCTAGGAGAGGCAGTAGAATCTTCACTGGCAGACTGGCTGACTTGCCAGTCTTGCTTTAAGCTGATGAACTTGCAGGAGTTGGGTGTCCAAAGCTGTGATAAGTGCAATGTCCTGCCCCAGGGATGACATAAGCAAAGAGCCCAGGACAGGCTGGGATCTCTGTATGGCTGTGGAACAGCCCTGCTCAAAGGGACCTGGGGGTCCAGCTAAACATGAGTCAGCGGTGCCACATTACACCAACAAGGGCAAAGCTGTGTGAGGGGAGGCTTGGGTTGGATATTAGGAGAAGGTTTTTCACCCAGAGGGTGGGTGGGCACTGGAACAGGCTCCCCAGGGAAGGGGTCACAGCACCAAGCCTGATAGAGCTCAAGGAGTGCGTGGACAACATTCTCAGGCACATGGTGGGATTCTTGGGATTGTCCTTTGCAGGGCCAGGAGTTGAATTTGATGATCCTTGTGGGTCCCTTCCAACTCAGGATATTCTATGATTCCATGAAATCAGATCCTGGGCTGCATCCACAGACTCATTACTAACAGAGACAGAGATATGATCATTTTACTCTACCCTGTGCTTGTCAGGCACAGCTGGAGGTGCTGTGTCCAGTTCTGGTCCCCACAGTTTAAGATACAGACAGACTGGAGAGGATCCAAAGGAGTGCCATGAACATGATCACAGGGCTGGAGAACCTGCCTGAGGAAAGACTAAAGGAGTTTGGTCTCTCCTCCCTGGAGAAAAGGCAGCTCAGGGGGAATCTCATCACAGTGTTCCAGTACTTAAAGGGCTGCAACAGAGAGGAGCCACAGGAAGAAGACCAAGGGCAATGAGTACCAGCTGCACTGAGAGAGGTTTCATTTTCTTACTGAAAGAAATTTAGTTTTTTTCAGCAGCAACGATCACTCAGTGGACCAACCTCCCCAGGGACATGGTGAAATCCAAATTGCTGGAGGTTTTTGAGATGGGACTGAAATACCCTGTGAAAAAGATGCCAGGGCAATGCCACAGAATTGCTTCCTTGGGTGAAATGGTTTTGAAAAGAAAGGTAAAATGAGCTATATTTATTTCATCTAATACAGATATGACATTAGCTGCCACATATACTAATGGAACTATATTATATATTCTTGCTGCTTTAGACTATCAGCACTCAAAAACAAAAAACCACTTCATGTCAAAAATCAGTAGGTTCATTTCTTGGAACTAGTGTACTATTAAAGCAATTTAACCAGAATATAACTATCCCCTTTATTGTTTCCAATCTGAAAAGCTTATCAAGTTGAAAGCAGAAAACACTTCAAGACTTTCTAAAATGGTTTTGTTTCCCCTTGGTTTGTCAGCAGAACTTGATTTCCTTTGCTGCAAAACAATAATTTAACCAAAATATGGTGTACATATCTCTCTGTAAGAAAAACAGTTCATTTGTTATTGTTTTTAATTAATGTTAAATACATGTCATTAGAATATTCTCATTAGTTTCAAAGTTTATTAAATTTCTCAGCTTCTTTCAAAGGAAGTGTCTGATTTCATTTTGTATTTTCTTTTGTTTGCTAAACTTTGAAACATTAGAGGCTTTTAACAGTGACTGCATCGTGTATATACTTCAAAAGACAAATGCTTTACAGGATCAGCAGCAGTTCAGACATCTCTGTGGGCTAAATAAAAACCTAAAAGGAGAAACTTTGCTGTAAAAATGTAAATCTCCTACGGTACACACAGCACTGAAACAAATCCTAACTTGAGCTGTATCAAAAAATGCAGTTTCCTTTCGTATCTATCAAGGAGTGAGAATACAAGTATTTGACAAGATTGGGAATAGGGTTTTATTTAAATGAAAAAAACATGACAAAGTGTAGCTAAGAGATTAAATGTGGAAAAATTGTGATCAGTCTTTCAAGAAAATATTAAGAGAAATCAAGGAAGCTCTTTAGGATGTTCCCATATGTGTATATTTTTAAAAATTATCCTTTACCTAATTCTCATTTCTTTTTTTTAAATTTCTTATGCTTTATCTTTTGAAATTGAAGCAGTGCTGCAGCAAAGTCACAATGAGCCACATCCATCCAAACTGCCATAACCATCCACAGCAATGCACATCCTAATTGTTCCTGTTTCAATTACCCTGCATGTGATACACAAAGAAACAAAAAGAACTACCAATATCTGCAACCTAATCCAGGATTTAAATGAACCTCTCATTTATTTCCAATGGCAAAAGTACTGCACTGAAAAGCTTTATAATCAAATAAATAATCCTCTAGCAGAAAATGACTAGTATTCCAAACAGGGTTTATAAGGGTTTTTTATTTTGGCTGAACTGTCCTTAAGTAAAAATGGCTAATCAGACAGCTCATCATTCTGAGTTTAAGTTAAAGCAGAATAGGATATTAAATCAGAATAGGAAAAAAGGAAAACCACAACAGTGCTCAGGGCACTGATAACTGTGGCAGCTGCCAGGCAGAATGTGTCTGAACTAAGTTTTCCCTGATTTCTCTTTTGTTTGAAAAGGGAATAAAACTAGTTTATCTCTTCTGAAAATCAATGTTATCATCTATGAGACTTTATTCTTCTTTTGAATATGAAACTGTGCCCCAGAGAACAAAGCTTTGCTCCTTCAAGACTTAAGGCTAAAAAAAGCTGATTATTTCAAATACAAGACAGCAATGTTCAGGTTTGCTCTCCTTCAATACAAAAAATTTTCTCATTTAAAAAAGAACAGAAAATACTGCAAATTATTCTTACCTATTTTCTTATTTCGTTCTTCCCCACGACTGTGTGCAATAATTGGAGAATATATGAAGGGGCTTTTGGTTGACACATTCTGACCAAGTAAACTCTTCATTTTGTGAGGTCGGAGACTGGTTGGGAGGTTCAGGAGCTTCACAGATCTGTTGAGTAAAAATAATTTTATATTGTTTTATTTATTCTATTTCATGAGAGATGCCTGTGTTAAAAATGAACTGATAAATATGAAATGTCAGTCTGAGATTAAAATACCCAAAATGGAAAACTTGAAGTAAACACCCACAATAGAAAAGGGAAGAAAAAAAAAGCAAGGAACCTTCAAACAGTTTCAGAAAAGATTTACCAGGGAAAAACATCCTCTGTAGAAACCAATGAAACCAAAACTAGCCAGGATCAGGGATTTGAAATCCAGCTCTTAATTTCCAAGTTCAGACTGAACAACAGATACACCACAAGCCCAGTGCAAAGAGCAGCCAAGTATTTAACTTAAACCCAAACAAGAATCCAGACAAGATTGGACAGCATAATACAAATAAAGAACTTCTCCAAGGTGAATAAAACTGATTTTAAAACAGTGAAAACACAGAGTTGCTGTTGGAAGGAAGGAAATGTTCCAGAAATTTGAGTGGGTTTGCTGAACAGCCAGAAAGCAATTACAAATAGACAGAAAACAAATGATTTATTAGACTATATCCCTGTTAGACCCAATTCCCTACAACATCATGCAGGGAAATCACTGGTCTTGCAATGCTGAGGGGAAATTAAAGACTAAATTTTGGGCAGAAGAACAAGCAATAAATTGGTGGATATTCAGTAAAAGGAACAGTTTTATAAAAGCCTGTAAGACATCTAATTACTTCCAGTCAGGAACTCAGCATAATAAAGAACAGATATATCAGTATCACACTAATAGAAAGTACACATGAGAAACCAAGATAATGTGTTTCTGCTGAAAAATAATGAAGCTGTAAGAGTAACATTACACAGACATGTTATCTCAGTGATCTAAAACACTTGATAAGAGTTACTGGATAACACTAAAAGTATTTTGGAACAAGGAATAAATCACATCCATATATTATGTGCTGGTGATACTTAGTATCAGCATCACAATCAAATGCAAAATCACAGACCATGAGACTGAGGAATAAAGAGGAACTATGACAGATCCCTCATACTTCATATTTTAAAACCTCTTCTGACAGAATTTTGCTAAAAATTAGAATGCAGCCTAAAGTAAAAACGTGAATTATACTATCTGAGGGAAAAAAAATTAAATTTCATAAAGTGCTTATAAAAAGTTTTATTTTTAAACAGAGAGAAGTGCTTTGGCTTCTCCACCATTATTATAAAAATACTGGTGGATAACCTGCTTTACATTAATGCATGAAAGTGGAAGGAATGTTCTTCAACCACATATTAGACAGATGTACCCTCACAGGTTTTATTTAATTCCTTTGTGTGAAAAGCTTCAGTCATGTCCCCTGGCCTGGCCCAACTGAATGCAAATGAGCGACAATTAAGAATTATCAACTAATATCACTATCTACCCAGAAGATACAAAATCTTGTATTTGGAAAACGTTGATTAAAAACAACCTTGCTTAGAGGTGAAAGGAAAATAATTCAAAATAAAAAACACTCTATTAAAGTAAACAGAGGGAAGGGGAAAAAGGGCACTGAGTAAATTTGAAGTAGTGAGAAAAGTATATAAGGACAACTAAAAACATCAGTGGTGAAAAGGAAGAAAATCCTTTCTTTCTGCTCCTAAGTATATTAGTAAGAAAACTAGCTTTAACACAGGTAAGTTATGAAAATAGGAACAGTGCACCTAGTAGAACAGAAAGACCATAAATTCTATCTATTTTTTATCTGAGAAAATACTAGATGATGATTTCATAATTAACATGAGTAATGGAATATAAAGAAGTCAAATCTCTTCTATTGCTTTTTAAGTATGGGAAGAAAAGGTAACAGTGCCACTATGTCCAAATTTCACTGTGGCATTTCAGTGTCTGACAGTATTTTCATTAAGAAATCTGCATCCAAAAGAAGAGCCCCACATGAAATGGATTAAAAACTCATAGACCATGAAATGCCAACAGTAAATAAAAGTCGCCACCATCAGCAAACGTGTGTTTCTAGAGGGCTCTAGCACAGATTGAATCATTTGCTGAGGTTATTCAACATTGATCAAAATCACATTTCCACACATTTATAATTTATGTCACAAACATTAGCACAATTTAGCTCAAAGAGCTCTGCAGTCCTGCAGCACAGCTGGTTCCCAACTGGCTGGACAGCTCTGCCACATACCAGATCTGCTGTGTGAGGTGTAACCAGAGGCTTCATATCCAAACACAACTCATATTTTACTGGAGTATGAATTTCAATCATTATGGCTTTTATAGAACTTTCAGAAGACAAGAAGAAGGGGGAGGAGGAGACGAGCACAAACAGCAGTTCTTGACTGTTCAATAATGTCGATGCCAAACAATGTTGATGTTGGGTTTCCCATGGCAAAACAGTAGAAACTATTCCCAACATTCCAAGTACAGCCAGGTCAGCACAAGTGTAAATGAAGCACCTGGGTGGTGAGGAACTGCCTAAAGCCAGGCCTAGGAATAACAATAACTATAATGTGTTTGACCCATTCTCTCAGCATACAAAACATTTCAAGTGAGACAAAGCCCTTCTCATTGAAGCCTTGGGAATCTGTTGCCAAAGTTTTGACTGGTCTCTTCTTCCAGGTAACAAGCAACGGGATAAGAGGAAATGGCCTCAGGTTGTGCCAGGGGAGGTTTACACCAGATAATAGAAAACTTTTCTTCAGGGAAAGGGTTGTCAAACATTGGAACAGGCTTCCCAGGGAAGTGGTGGAGTCACCATCCCTGGAAGTGTTTAAAAAACATGTGGATGTGGCATTTGAGGACATGGTTTAGGGGTGAACATGGTGGTGGTGCTGGTTTGACCATTGGACTTGATGATCTTAAAGGTCGTCTCCAATCTTAACAACTCCCCGGTTCTGTGATTCTAAATGCACGACTCCTACAAAGAAGGATTTGATCAGCATTTCCCATATCTTCCAGAGCTGAATTTTCTTCACTATTCAGCAGGGAGAAGAATAGGAAAGTGCTATGGAATACAGAGCACAATCCACCTCCGCCATGGTTTAAAAGTTAAGCAAAAATCAAAAACTTGAGACTAACTCAGGGTTTAAAACATCACAGACAAACACAACGCTGCTGCTTCAGCAAAAATTAAAGGTCAGATTCATCAGAGACCTTCTGCAGCTGTTTGACAGCCCAGATACCACCCCCAGTCAGATTAAGGAATGCAGTTTTGGTTTTATACTGTGGAATAAGGTTATTGCTAGAGCAAAGATCTGCGAGACACACTGAGAAGCTGACAGCACTCTTGCTCTTTGTGTAAGCTTTTGCTCAAACTTCTCTCTACAATCACATAACTCAAGTACTAGAAAGGATTCCTAGAAGTTTGCTTAATTAGCTTCCAGTTTTTAATACTACTTAATTTTTGTTTCAAAAAAAAAAAAGAAAAAAGAGACCAGAATAACATTTGCACAAATTTTGTTTCTATAAACTTTCAGAAGAAATAGAGGCCTCTTTCACGTACTTTGGTGGGAATCTGCCTTCAGGGTGTATTTACCAGGCAACTCCTCTAACCCACAGACACAGTGACCTGAACTTGTCACTGGACATCTGTGAGGCCAATGCAAAATGAGTCAACACCATCCACACACACTTGTAATTTGACTCATCCTAAAGCAGATACCTAAGTTAGGTTAGAGAAACCTGGACGTGATTACCTACATGTCTTGACTGCAAACATGAGCCAGCACAGTCAAATGTCACTAGTTTAGCTCTATCTGTAGATTTTTTGTGAAACTAATCAACCTCAAGGTCAGCTGATAAAGCAGTCAACAAACTTTCCCACTGTAAAACACAGCTTTCAATCACAGAATCATAAAATATCCCTAGTTGGAAGGGACTCACAAGGATCATCCAGTCCAACTCCTGGCCCTGCACAGGACCACCCCAGGAATCCCACCATGTGCCTGAGAGCGTTGTCTAAATGCTCCTTGAACTCTGTCAGGCTTGGTGCTGTGACCCCTTCCCTGGGGAGCCTGTTCAGTGCCCAACCACCCTCTGGGTGAAGAACCACCTGGGTGAAGTTTTGGTCTTAACAGTTAAGCTTTTGGGATTGTAGGTTTATGTTCCATGTTTTCCAGTCAAGAAGTCGATACCAGCTGCAACTTCATACTTGGTCCAACCAGGAGATTGTTGGAAACAGTGACTGGAAACTGTGACTGTCCTGATTCCACACACAATTCCATCTGACCACACACAGCCAAACCTGCACCTCCCACACAACAATCTGTCAGTGTGAACAGACCCATCTCCTGAAATGCACTACAAGAGTCAGGGAAGGTCTCCTTCTTCTGTCAAAGTGGAAACAAAAACTGAAGTTAGAGGGAACATAGTAAAACCAGTTGTATCATGAAAAATGGTCACAGAACAAAAAAAAAAGTAATTTTAGAGATTAAAAGTAATCTAAAAATAAGTATAATTTTCATTCTTTGCTTATATACTGTATTATCCCTTTGTGATACCAGAACTCTTGCTTCGTGAAATGTTTGATGACATCCCACTGCAAACTGAAATTTCTGAGAACTATTTCAGTAACTTCTACCATTTTTTTTCTGAATAGCAATTATCTTTCCTTCAGAAGGGAAAGATTTTCTTTTAGTCTTCTATTATTGATGCCCAGTGGCTGCTTTCTCTCTCTGATTCTCTCTAATGCTTCATGCTGGGCTTTAATCTAAACAAGTTCCTATTCATTGGGCTGACGGTGTGATGTGCCTGGGCACATGGGCACAAAAAAGAACTTTTACAATAGTGAAGGTGCCAGCTGGAAAATGCAGCATCTGGAAAGGAAGAGCTACAAAAGGCATCAGTTCCAGCTGAGTTCCAAGCTCCATGAACGGAGACAACATCCAGCTCACGGACCTTCAGTATTGAAGTGATCAGGAATTCAACCTAAATCTCAGCTGCAGTTACAAAATACTTTCCTCCAATTGTATCAGAAACTCTTGAATGACAGTTTTAAAAAAAGCAAAACCTCTCTCTTTCTGCAACTAAAGGGCACAAAGTATTTTCTACTCAAAGGCTCTATTTTTGCTTAAGAGCTTCTCAAAACAATTTGACATTTCGACGTTTTTCCATGTTATTGTGATCAATGTGCATAAACTGAGAAAAGTATATCCTTCCAGTATCCTTTAAAATTTGACAGGTGCTGTGGAAAAGCTAAAGATTGTATTTTGGAGTCTTACCTCACAATGGGCAATTTGGTGAAGGGAACAGGAGGTAACTTCAGACCATCTGGAAGAGTGATGACTTCCATTGTTCCAGGGCATTTTGCTGTATAGCTTTCCAAGCTCTGTGTTACATCTTTCTTTTCTAGAAAATAAAATTACAAAACAATTTCAAACCCACATGTATCAAAAATTTAAGAAGTTACAAGTTAAAGTTTTATTTGGGGATTTTTTTTGTATTTACACAAAATAACTCTAATGGCATGCCAACTAATTTTTGCATACAGCAGTTGGAGCTTTGTTCTAGAAGCCTCAACAGATGGATCAAATATAATTAAGTGACCTCTAAGCAAAAGAGTTTTCTAGCTTTCTCAGAATTTTCCAAATGCCAGTCTATACCTACTTTTTTTTAGGTTTTTTATTGTCAAAATAAAAGTTTCTACAATTTATCTCATAAATCTACACATCCAACACATTTGGCCTCATGCATGTTAAGGTTATTAATAATAGCATTGTATGGGAACAAGCCCTGCTCTGAAACATCAGATGAAATAATATCAAAGGCAAAGAAGAGAAACAAATTATTTTTGATGTTACCTTGTGTGAAAACTACCTAATTCTTAAAATAATTGTACTCTATTATGCTACTAAATCATAACAACTGCTAGAAAAATTTTCTTTGGTTTTGCTTAAAAATATAAGAACATTCAAATAAACTGTGGAAGGTGTCCCTGCCTATGGCAGGGCAGTTGGAACTAGATGGTCTTCAAGGTCCCATTCTGTGATTCTATGATTCCCCATTTCTCTGACAAAATGGGAGTCTGAAAACAGAAATAAGCCTGAGAGTGTGTTTAGAGAGAAGAATGAGACAGCTGAAAAGTCTTAGACCTTTATTGTTTTAAAGCACAGTGAACATTCATAGAATCAAGTGTGTTTGGGTTGGAAAGGACCTTGAAGACCATCTAGTTCTAACTACCCTGCCATGGGCAGAGGCACCTTCCACTATACCAGATTGCTCCATATATGTGCTACCAACAAAAATAACTATTCAATAACCCAACTGTTTCTGAAAATACTGCAAAGATCAAAATACTCAATGATAAAATAGAAAAGGAAAGGGTGATAGCAAATACTGCTTTCCAAAAAAACTGCTTGGAGAGGTATATTGGGTCACACAGCAAGATTTTGGTAGCGAGGGATGCTCTAGGTGTGGCCTCTGGGAGAAGAGACCAGGAGTAGCTCCATGAGAGAGCCAGTTCCAGCCAAATCCAAAAAGGAGCTGCTGCTGCCCAAAGCTGGGCCCATCAGTTACATTGGTGGCATGTCCCTGATAACATATTTAAGAAAGGGTAAAAAATGCTGCATAGCAGCTGTGAGAGGGAGGAGTGAGAAAAATGTGAGAGAAACAAACCTTGTAATGAGGCCAAAAACAAGGAAACCTGCCCGAAACACCAACTTGGGCCTTGAAAGCCCCAAACATCCAGCAATGTTTGTGCTGCCCACATCAATCCAGCTTAGTTTGTGAGCTTCTACTGCCAGGAGTAAACACTTTCAAAGCAAATAAACATTGACTGTAGTGCCCTTCACTAGAGAATTAATGCCACATAACTGACAAACTGCTTTGCTCGTGTCTCTGTTTCACTGAACTGTCTCTTGAGCCACTCCTCACATTTTCATTTCCTACAGGAAATATTCCCAAAAACACATTATTAGACATCCCACATATGCTCAGGCAAGGAATTGTAGTGGTTCAAGACTGATTATTTTCATAAAAATTTCAGGTTATTTGCCATGTCATGTGAGCAAGGGCACATTGTGCAAATAGAATCCACTGAGACGGAAATCTTCACAGCTACCAAAAATGATGAAGACAACACTACAGCATGTGCTTAATTCTGCTTGAAACTGGATATTCTGTCATTCTGGAGAACTGGCTTTCACTTCCTAGTGTGAAACACTCAGTTATTGTGCTCACAGAAGGCCGGCTGCCACTTGCAAAAAGCATTTGTTTATAGATTTCTGAGGTGCATTTTTTTTCCACAGCAGTAGCTCAGCGAGCTTTCCATGAAGACAAGGCTAAACCAAGCCATTTTTCTCTGCTGACGTGGTATGGAATAGTTTTAAAGGTGCTGCTGGCCCTCTATTCCTTCTCCTTAGCACCACATCTCAGCTGAGATGCTGAAGGAATCTACATACTGAGAAGTGTTCTGGATGCAAAAGAGCTGCCTGATCCTGCCCAAGAGCTGCCTCTGAAAGCAGATGCTGGAGCCTCCTCCCTTGACTGAGCACCTCGGATCCCTGACCTCTGTGGCCTAATAGTTGCCAAAAACCTGTTACAGACTGGCAGTCTCAAACAGGTCTGAATTCTCCCAGCTTTTGTCTGCCTGTCACCGTACTCTGACACCATCAGAAATCTCACAGACCTCCTGGGAGGATCCATTCAACTCCTCAGTCTCCTTCCTGACCCAGAGTTTAGAAGATTTCTGTGACTGAAACACTTACCACTGGTACTTATCTTTCTCTTTACAAAGAAGACAGAGAAAACAGCTGCTTTTGGAGGTCTTTACCCACCTGGGGTCTTCGTGCTTCTACAGGTCAGCAGGAAAGCAATCATCACTTGATCCTGTGACCTGTGAATTCACCTGAACAGCTTTAAAAGCCTGTCCTGCAGCTGGGAACACCACTGGATACTCTTGTGTAGGTATCAGAGACTCATTTATTGAGTGAGAAGTGATGGGTTATTTTTTCATCTGCAATAACTGCGTTCATGGGGTTTTTTTCCCCTCCAGTTTCTGTCCAGACTCACTGAAAGATCAGGATCACAGAATGGCTGTAAACCAAACAAAGCTGAACAAAGCCACAGTCAGGAGTGGCACCGGAGCACGTACTGCAGTTTGTTCAGCATAACCTCATAGTTCAGTTCCCCCATTTCACACCAAATTGGTTTTGACTGCTTCTGACAACTGAAAATTTTGCAAGTCCACCCATATTCTTGGGATTTCATTGCTTAACTGTTTCCCATCACCACAATGAGCACTGGGTTTGTCTAAAAGCTGATTCAAACCTTCTAATACGGCAACACAAAAATCTGAAAGCTTCAGGTGCACAGTTAGAAACCATTCGTGACTGAAACATCAAAAAGCAAAGACTTTCTGCTCGTTTAGCAGTCATGTGGAACAATATTTCACAATAATGGAGCCATTGAAAAATCAGACCAGGAGAGGAGAGGAGGTCAGTTATAGACTAACGTTTTTAGGCACTTCAGTTTGTGTGATTTAACAGTATCACACAAACAGCATTTCATGCCTTGGTAGACAACAGAGAAAATCAGAAGAACACAATTGCTGTAACTGTCTTATTTCAGCTATTTAATATTTGAAGAAATTTAAAGTATCTGTACATGGGCTCAGTCACTACCCATTGAAAACTAAGGCAAGTAGTAAAAACACAGCATTTGTTCTCTGGCAAACAATTGGTTGATGTTGTTTTGATCAAGTCACTGTGTCCCTTGCAGAACAACCTACACCCGGGTGGAATGGGAATGAAGAAAGGGACAATTTTATGTCTGAGATGCCAATCACACTGGAAGACAATTTCATTTCCTTATGCAACTTGCTAAAATGTTGAAAAAGGAAGTCAGAAAACAAATGGCTAAAAGCCTTCTGACTTCAGTTTCCCCTGGTGATAAGCCCAGAATGAACATTTTAACAAAAAACCCTGTACCCAGAGTGCTTTGTGCTGGCTGAGCTTTTTCTTCTCCCTTGAAAACAGCAAATAATGGTCAAAAAGGAGAAGTCCAAGGACAGCTCCTGCAGCAGCCAGGCCCAGACCCAACTGCCTCAGGACAGAGATGCAAACATCTTAATAAATTACTAGTAGCACATAAAAAGACAAAAAGTCAGTCTGACAACAGAAAGAACAAGAGAAACAGTAGTTTCTGCACCCAGAAACAGAGATATGGCCTTCCAGTACCTGAGGGGAGCCTACAAGAGTAGGATTTTTTACAAGAGTGTGTATAGGACAAGGGGGGATGGCTTCAAACTGAGAGTAGTTTTAGATAGATATTAGGAAGAAATTCTTCCCTGGAAGGGTGGTGAGGCACTGGCACAAGTTGCCCAGAGAAGTTGTGGATATTCCATCTCTGGAAATGTTCAAGGCCAGGTTGGATGGGGCTGTGAACAACCTCGTCTAGTGGAAGGTGTCCCTGCCCATGGTAGGGGGGTTGGAATGAGATGATCTTTAAGGTCCCTCCCAACCCAAACCATTCTGTGATATTTCCTTCACACAAACACAGAAAAATGAAAATTGTTTGGTGAGCCCTGTTACAACTAGAGAAGAAATAAAATTCCATGTCTGCTTCCAGGGGAATCTCCAGCCTCACTGTGCCATCGCGACACAGCGTATTCCTTAAACTAAAGAATTTCAAAAAGACCACAAAATGTGTTAGGACCCTCAAAAAAGCTGAATGAGAAACTGAATATTCATAGACAGCAACCACTACAGACTTTTTACCTTGCAGTGAATCACCAGACTGCAGGATGTGCCAGGCAGTGCCTCAGCTCTAGTTCTGGGCCGTGAGCACCCTGTTTGTACCCTCAGTGCATCACTTCACTACCACAGGCAGGCCAATGCTGGGAGAGGAGCACCTCAGCAACACTTGCATCATCAACACACCAATGCAGCATTTCAGCTGTGTAATTCTGTCAATGCAGCATTTCAGCTGTGTAATCCAGCAGAACAGAGCAGCTCCTCTCCTGGGCAGGCAACACCACCTGGTTTTCCATCCCACTAACTCCGATAGGTGTTGGGTGACGCATTTTCTACCGTTTTAGTAAAAAGAGAGCACCTCTAATATTTTCCTGAAAAACACATGGAGCAAGTAAACACAACTTAAAACTGCTCAAAGATCAGATACTTGAACAAGCTGCTTTGTAAGCAAGGCAAGGAATTCTGGGTGTTCATCCCAACACTGTCTCCTGCAACAAGTGTGTGTGTGTTCTCACCGACTCCAAAGCTATTCTTATGGGGAAAACCAGAAAGGCACTGTCAGAGTACGAATGCCACCTCTTTAAGAAATCAGGCAAAATAAGTCTCTAAATAAATACAGTGGAAACTAACAAAATTCACTGTTTCACATGGAAAAGA